ATCTAGGCTCACTGCTACCTCCTCTGCCTCCTGGGTTCAAGTGATTCTCCTGTCTCAGCCTCCTGAGCAGCTGGAACTAGAGGCACATGCCATCACTCCCAGCTAAGTTTTGTATTTTTAGTAGAGACGGCGTTTCATCATGTTGGCCAGATGGTCTCGATCTCCTGACCCCATGATGTATCTGCCTCAGCCCCTCTTTTCTACTTCTGTGAAATGTCTGTATATTTTCTCTTCAAGACCCATGCATCTCTCCAAGTGTGACTTTTTTTAAAAAACGGTGTGTATCATATAGGTATATAATTTTGATACTGAGAACTGCACAGAGAACAATGCTATTAAATGATAAAGACAATCTCCAAGAAGAGACTGTATTTAAGCAGCTGAAAAACTGTATAACCCTTAGAAGAGGATCTCAGATGAACACAAAAGCAAGTAAAAAAGATGAACTAGGCTGGACGCGGTGGCTCACGCCTGTAATCTTAGCACTTTGGGAGGCTGAGGCATGATGATCACCTAAGGTCAGGAGTTCAAGGCCTCAACACCAGCCTGGCCAACATTGTGAAACCCCATCTCCACTAAAGATACAAAAATTAGCTGGGTGTGGTGGTGGGTGCCTATAATCCCAGTTACTCAAGAGGCTGAGGCAGAATCACTTGAACCCGGGAGGTAGAGGTTGCAGTGAGCCAAAAATCGAGCCATTGTGCTCCAGCCTGGGTGATACAGTGAGACTTCATCTCCAAAAAAAAAAAAAGGATGAACTATAGTATAAGTAACTCAGTGAAAAGCGGAAGTAGCCAGAATTACTTTGCTTAAAGAAACTGGTCAAAGGATACTTCCATAAGTAAAACTGCTAGAGGAAGGAAATCTAAGACAAAGTTTATAATGCTTCATAAACTGGGAGCCTAGATCAGGAGTGGAGAGTTTTTTCACCTTCTACTTAAGAATCACAGAGGAAATATAAACCATCCCTTGCCAAAATAAAAAGAAACTTAAGGGTCTGTCTGCTTTTTTTTTAAGAGCTCTCCTTATTTTTAGAAATAGGAAGAGAATAAAAAGATCTATTAAATATACATATAACTCTATATGTGCATTTTTAAAAACCTATGCCATGTGTTTAAGGGAGAGACTCAAGAGGAGAGAGAAATAGGGTATCAAGACCCATACAAACATACTCTTCAAGAGAAAACCTACAGCTAAAGAGATTCCACAGCAGAGAAAGAGAAACGAAAAAGTGGGAGAGCAAGATCCAGAAGCAAGAGAACTGGGAAGCTTAGTAAGTAGGTTTTCCAATATGTGTACTCTTCACACAGTAGTTTTACTTGAAACTGACATATTAATTCAGCATTTAAAACATTTAAAATTATACTTTCTATACTGGAAATTGGCTTTCCTACTATTTTTTTCAGGTGGAATTCTGCAATTCCTGTAATATGTAACAATAAAAAGCATCCACCCATCCTTTTGTTATTTATTATCTATTCTATGCCAAGATACAGCAGTGAACAAAAAAATTTGCTAAGGATACAGCAGTGAATAAAAATTCTTGCCATTTCTCTAGTGGTTTAATAGCAAGTTCCTTCATTTTTAATTATGTACCTAATGACTTACATATATTACTTTGTCAATCTTCATAAAGTAATGAGGTAGGTGGAAAGTGTGATAAAACTTCTTTTGTGGCTATAGATGATTTTGTGGCTGGTTCAAATCTGCCCAACAAAGTGAATGGAAAAATGGCTGAAAAATCGAATTTAAAGAGTTCTTTCTGAACTTTATGAAAGAGGAAAGTTTAATTAATCTCTAAAAATTTTCAGTATAATAGAACTTGGTCCACTTTAAAATAACTGATTGGTTTGCTTGATTTTAAAGAACTGATCTACACTCTTATTTGTTTGTAGAAATTCATCCCTGTTCTGAAAACAGAAGCTTATCTTAGCAACAATGGACTTGCTCAGAGTGAGCTTAGGAACAGCCTTTCAGAGCCTCTTATCTGGAAATAGAGAAGCTTCTATATTACTCAATCTACTATTATACTCAGCCATGATTAGAGCTATTTTCTGACTCATAAAATGAAGGAAGAGGAGGTGGATAAAGAGTGCCTGGGACAATGTGGGGATTCAATAACATCTGTTGAATGAAGTAAATGAAAAGAGAAGGGGACGTTTTCCTAGAGTAATTAGATAAGAGCATAAAAAGAAGAGAAAGGCAGAGGGGATAAATGTGTGTCTATAACAGATTTTTTTTTTTTGAAGTGGAGTCTTGCACTGTTGCCCAGGCTGGAGTGCAGTGGCCTGATCTCCGCTCCCTGCAACCTCCGCCTTCTGGGTTCAAGCAATTTTCCTGCTTCACTCTCCCAAGTAGCTGGGATTACAGGTGCCCACTATCATGCCCAGCTAATTTTTTATATTTTTTTAGTAGAGGTGGGGTTTCACTATGTTGGCCAGGCTGGTCTCAAACTCCTGACCTCATGATCCACCCACCTTGGCCTCCCAAAGTGCTGGGGTTACAGGCATGAGCCACCACACCCAGCCTAGTCTTTTTTTTGAGACAGAGTCTCACTCTGTCACCCAGGCTGGAGTGCAGTGGTGCGATCTTCACTCCACCTCCTAGCCTACTTGATGTAAGAATTACTGAATAATGAAAGTGGGGGTGGGGGGACGAAGGGCCTGAACAACAAGTACTTGTTTTCTATAGCAGAAAAAAAAAAATTAAGTAGGTAAAGATGCTGCACCTAATACCTCTAGGAGTAAGCCACCAGGTGGCAACAGCAGCCCAGGAAAACTAGGTTGCAAGTTTTAATGTGTAATAAGGTGGTTAATGGGAAACATGTTTTTAAGAAATGAATTCCCTGTCCGCCATGGTCTTGTGATAAAAATTTTATATGTAAAATCCAAAAATAAGGTCAGGTGAGGTGGCTCACGTCTGTCAACACTTTGGGAGGCTGAGGCAGGAAGACTGCTTGAGCCCAGGAGTTCAAGACCAGCCTGGGCAACATAGTGAGACCTCATGTCTATTTAGAAAAAAATCACACAGACACCCACAGACACACACACACACACACACACACCAGTATTTCCATATACACGTGCACTTCAGTTTAGTTGCTTTAAACAATGCACAGTACTAGGTAGAAACTGCTCTGTTTCAAAAATTCTGCAGGCAGGTCTGTGGGAGCAAGGCAGAGAGAGCTTGGTTTAGATTCCAACTTTCCAAAAAAAAGACAAGCCCTTTTAAAGGAAGGTAACGATTTTTAATCTGCTAAAGATTTGGACACTTAAATGCTGATTCTTTTACAGATGAATAAACGGAGGCACACAGGCACTAAGTAACTTGCTCCAAAGGCGTAGAGCCATTCAGCGGCAAACCAGTGATTAAGATAAAGGGTTGCCTACTGAAGCATATCTTTTGATAACAATCCTTTTTTCCCCAGAAGTAGATGCCTTCAGAATTTATTTATTATGATATGGAGATAAATGGAGATAAATATTTAATGCCTTGTTTTATTGTTTTTCCCTTGACTTTTTATTTTCTAAGAAGATTCTACCAATTACATAACTTCTCTGGAATGAAATTCTGAGGTTAAGGAATCATTCTGGGGGCAGGTGCTTACAGATAATTATTTTCAGAGGTTGATCACCAAACAAAGCTCTACCTAAAGTCACTATGTTAAGTTCTTACTCTAAAGCAGTGTTTTCTCAACTTTTTGAAAATCACAGGCAAAACTTATAGGCAATGCAAAGACTGTGTACCATTGGGCACTGATAACAGGGTCTCAGAGCTGTTTAGAAAGGCTTCCCATCACATACTTGGCTAATAATGTACACAAAGCAATAGGTGGCCTCTGGAAAAACACTACATGTAAGAGAATAATGTCACTTCAAATCATGAAAGGGGGAAACACAGTTAATGCCCCTCCCCACTGGCTTGGGACTTCTTGGTCAACTGTTTAAACACTCTCTTTTTGTTTTTGAGACCAAGTCTCGCTCTATTGCCCAGGCTGGAGTGTAGTGGCACGATCTTGGCTCACTGCAACCTCCGCCTCCTGGGGACAAGTGATTCTCCTACCTCAGCCTCTTGAGTAGCTGGGATTACAGGTGTGCACCACCATGCCCAACTAATTTTTGTATTTTTAGTAGAGATGGGGTTTCACCATGTTGGCCAAGCTGGTCTTGAACTCCTGACCTTGTGATCCACCTGCTTCAGCCTCCCAAAGTGCTGGGATTACAAGTGTGAGCCACTGCGTCTGGGCTAAACACTCTTATAATGATTTTCTGCAATTGTTTGCGAAAAAGGAAAAGTGGAAATCCTTAACGTATCACAAGACATATAAGGAGGGAGCTGAAAAAATACTGCTTGCTAAATACGTTTTTTTAAAAAATATCTAAACTAGAAATGTCTGCACGTGTATTTGTGATAGATTCCCAGTCAAGTAAAGCACATGACAGCTCTTTGTATTGAGGTCGGAAAAGATCCGGCCTGGATCTATATTTTAAGACCATTTCTCATTGACTTAACATTACTATTTCTAGCAACCAAAATTTTTGAGCACTTGCAGTACCCACTTAGTGCTTAGAGCCTAAATGGGGAATAAGGATAAGTAAATAAGCATTTAAAACAGTATAAAGACTAAGAGAGAGAGATTTACAGAAACACAGCCGAACACATACAAATGATAAAAGATGACTTGTGTCTAGTTGGGGAAGTACAACAGGCTCACCCTGACACAACCCTTCATACCAAGCAGTCCCTGAAGTGCACTCTAAAACACTGAAATTTAACTTCACATCCCTTTGTTCTAATGTTCTCTACATATAGAGCAGTTATTCTAAATCCAGTCTCAAAAACTCACCACACACAAGAATTAAGTCACTTTCCCCTGTTTTGTAGGCTAACCGATTTAAAATGTTAGTAAGTCCTCTGAAATCCTACCTTTGGCTGTTAAATTACATTTCTTTATGTCTCCTCCAGTTTCTTCACAGATTTTAAAATAAAGGGACCTACAACAAACATAAAACTCTGGATAGGATTAGGAATTATTAATACAAAATAGAGAAGACTCTAGCACTGAGGGAAAAGAGGTGTGGTTTATGTCTGGTTTAGGAGGCATGAAAGTCTGATTTTAGACATGTTTCATTTGAGGTGATCGTGAGACATGCAAGCTGAAAAGGTATAGTAAACAGTTGGTTAGAATGAGCTGATCTTTGGGAGACTTTCTCTGAGAGAGGATGTCTTTGTATCCAAGAGTGATATATGATAATATGGAAAAGAAAGAAGGAAGGGACTAAGCATAAAGACAAAATGAGGAAAATGGATAGTGCTTATACAGTTTTAAGTGAATCTCAAATAAACCAAAGTATACAAAACAAAACTTAAAAGTTTTTTAACACTGACTTTAATATAAATATTCATTTCTTTCCTCCACTTACAATGTCTAGCCATGATTCTGAGCAGTATGACACTAGCAGGGCACCATCTAGAAAATGCATCCATGTTAACAATGCATCAAGAATGACTGAAATGTAACACAAAGAACAGTTCACCCATGTAAAAATAGTATAGCAATAACACCAACCCAGAAAATTCAAGAACATACTTTAAGAGCATGTAAACAGATATAAACTTTACCAGGATTTGAATCTTGCCTGACTATAAAGATACTGCTTACCTGATCTTTGCTTTCCTCAACAATGAAAAAGAAAAAAAAAGACAAAGGATAATCTCTCTACATTACAGGATCATCACAGGCCCATAAACATTAATTCTTTTGCCCTTCCTCTACATTTCAAGAACATCTGATGTAAAGTTTGGTGGTGGTTAGTTATTACTACCATTTCTTAGCTCCAAGCCCACCCTTCCACACTCTCCTCTGCTGGGTCTAGGAAATAGTTCTCAACCAGGGGCCATTTTGCCCCCTAGGGGTCACTCAGCAATGTATGGAGACACTCTCAGTTCTAACAATTAGCAAGACAGGGAGGGCTACTGGCATCAATTTTGTGGAGGCTAGGAATGTTACTAAACATCCTACAAAGCACAGGACAGCCCCCTGGCCTAAAATGTCTATGATGCCAAGGTTGAGAAACCATGGTCTAGAATCTGCCAACTCAATTATTCAGACACCCCTGGCAGCTTGCTTCTGGTTTACCAGTGGGAGGCCTCAGAGGGAGAGAAAAAAATGGCAAGAGGTCAGCATCCTTACAGCAGCAGGGCTCCTTCTGTCCAGAGCTCCATCCTTCACTAAGAGAAACCAGGGCTCCTCACAGAAATGAAGGACTCTATGGGCTGGACAGAGCAAATACATGAGCCTGTAATATATCCTGTTCTAAAATGAAACATCCAGAAATGACTGAGTTAGAATGATGGGGACATATCAAAAGTACATAGAAAAACCTTAAAGTGGTTTCACAAGCCAAATGTGGGACAATTTGAGCATCAAGACTAATAATAAAAGTAATAGACTGGCCAGGCGTGGTGGCTCATGTCTGTAATCCCAGCACTTTGGGAGGCCGAGGGAGGTGGATCATGAGGTCAAGGGATTGAGACCATCCTGGCCAACATGGTGAAACACCGTCTCTACTAAAAATACAAAAATTAGCTGGGTATGGTGGCACATGCCTGTAGTCCCAGCTGTTTAGGAGGCTGAGGCAGAAGAATCGCTTGAACCAGAGGCAAAGGTTGCAGTGAGTGAAGATGGCGCCACTGCACTCCAGCCTGGTGACAGAGCGAGACTCCGTGTCAAAAAAAAAAAAAAAAGTAATAGATTATAACTCACTGAATAACACAAGAATCCATGACTCCATACTGATATAAAATAAATAAATCAGAAGAAGGAAACAGAAAAAATTTTCCTCGTGGTAGACTGACTAGAAATTACATTCCAACTCCTTAATTCACTGGTACTAGAAGTAAGCTGTCCAATACAGTAGTCACTAGACACATGTCACTATTTAAATGTAATCTATTAAAATGAAACTAAAAATGTAGTTCCTCAATTGCACCGGCCATATTTCAAGTGCCCATGTGGCTTTTGAGGGACTGAGTCATAATTTTGTGAAAATAAGGTCTAGAATAGTCTTTTTCATTGAAGAAAGAGTCTCACACTCTGTCACCTCTGCTGGATGGAGTACAGTGAGGCGATCTAGGCTCACTGCAGCCTCCGCCCCCCTGGTTCAAGCGATTCTCATGTCTCAGTCACCCAAGTGGCTGAGGCTACAGGTGTGCACCACCACACCCAGCTGTTTTTTGTATTTTTACTAGAGACAGGTTTTTACTATGTTGCCCAGGCTGGTCTTGAACTCCTGGCCTAAAGTGAGCCTGCCCGCCTAGGCCTCCCAAAGTACTGAGATTATAGAGGTGAGCCACCACACCCAGCCTAGAATAGTCTTAAGGTAAGATCGAATTTTGTTGCTTTCTGAAACTCTTAAAATTTTGTAATGGAACTGAAGTGAAAGACAATTTCACAAAGATAAAGAGAATAAAATAAATAGGAATAAAATTTTGAATGCTGAAAAGCAGAATTAGGTATCTGAATTAGGAGACTGGAAAGAGCTGAATCCTAGTATGGGCAAAGATGAAAGCTAAGAAACAATCCAATTTACAAAGCAAATTCAACGAAATGTTTGGGACCGGCTGCATCAGGTATTGCTGAAACCATAGTTAGGGTGGAGAACTGCTGAAGGACAGAAGACAGATAAAAGGTCTTTGAGAAGCAGTTAAAATTCTAAGTTGTCTCTTCAACATTACACTTCACGTCAAGTGGAAAGTACAAGTTTGTATATTAAAGAGGGTCTCTGACTCCTAGGAACTCAAGGTATCACTGACAACAGAGTAAAGCGCATATTTTATTGAAAACAGAAGGATTAAGTAAGTAAATCATTTCCAGAAAAAGAAAGAAGAAGAGAGGAGGAGAGAGAAAGGGAAAGAAAATATAACATAAAAGGGAAGAAAACTGGAACCCTACTCTAGAAGCTTCAATATCCTCAAAGTAAGAAAAATGGGAGGGAGGAAATAATCAACAGAGTAATTCAAGAAAACTTCCCAGAACAGAGAATAGGAGTTGCCAGGTTCAAAGGGTCCAGAGAGTACTCAATACAATGAATAAAAAGAGATCTCTACTAATCACATTTCAGAAGAACAGGCCCTCAAAGAGATATTCTACTAGCTTCCAGGAGATGGGGAGTAGAGAGGGGAAAGAATGGGTTACACACAAAGACCAAGAATCTGATACTTCTGATAGGAACACTGGACTCTAGAAGGTAATGCACAAATGTCATGTGAAGGTAAGAATTTCCAATTTAAGATTCTATACCTAGGAAAGTTATCACTCAAGTGTGAGGGCAGTAGAACAACATTTTCAGATTATGTTAAGTTCTAGAAAAAAACCACTTCCCATGTATTATAAACACCCTTTTTCTCCAGAAACTACAAAAGCATCCACCACCAGAAGAAGAAGAGCTGGATTAAAAACAGGGAGATGGAATTTAGGAATCGAGATCCAACGTGAGATGCAATGAAAATCACCAGAAAGACAGTGAAGGAAGAACCACCAGGATGAAAAGCCATGAAGCAGATGAAGGCCATTACACCACATTGGGCAGTGACACTCAAAGAGTCCCACTTAGGGGAAGGGTGGTCATCACCCAGATCCTGAGGCCGCAGCATTGTTTGTTTTACGCTGTTTACTGAAGCATAACATGCAGAGAACAATATAAATCAGAAACAGGACAGCTTGGGTTTTATGAAATGAACACATCCTGTATAATGAACACCAAGATCAAATAATGGAATATTACCATTCTCTTCCATTAACTACCCCAGTTACCATCCTAAACACAGATAAACTGCACCTGCTTTGTCTATTTACATGTATAAATATACTGTATTAGTTTGTTTTCACACTGCTATAAAAAACTACCTGAGACTGGGTAATTTATAAAAAAAAGAGGTTTAATTGACACAGTTCTGCAGGCTTAACAGGAAGCATGACTGGGAGGCCTCAGGAAACTTATAATCATGATAGAAGGTGAAGGGGAAGCAAGCACCTTCTTCACAATGGCAGAGCAGGAAAAGAGTGAAGGGGGAAGTGCCACACACTTTCACACAACCAGATCTCTCACTATCACCAGAAATGCAAGGGGAAGTCGGTCCCCATGATTCAATCACCACCCACCAGGCTCCTTCCTCAACACATAGAGATTACAACTCAAGATGAAATGTGGGTGGGAACATAAAGTCAAACCAGTCTGCCCACTTCCCATTCCGAATCTTATGTCCTCCTCACATTTCAAAAGAGAATCATGCCTTCCCAATAGTTCCCCAAAGTCTAAATTCATTCCAGCATTAACTCAAAAGTCCAAATCCAAAGTCTGATCTGACACAAGGCAAGTTCCTTCTGGCTATGAGTTTGTAAAATCAAAAAACAAGTTAGTTACTTCCAAGATACAATGGGGGTACAGGCATTGGGTAAAACGTTCCCATTCCAAAAGGAAGAAATTAACCAAAACAAAGGAGCTACAGGCCCTGTGCAAGTCTGAAACTCAGCAGGGCAGTCATTAAAGCTCCAAAATAATCTCCTTTGACTCCATGTCTCACATCCAGGGCACACTGATGCAAGGGGTGCACTCCCAAGGCTTTGGGTATTTCTGGCTCTGAGGCTGCTTTCATGGAATGGCGTCGAGTGCCTACAGTTGAGCATCTGCAGCTTTTCCAGGTACATGGTGCAAGCTGTCAGTGAATCTATCCATTCTGGGGTATGGAAGATGAGGGCCCCTCTTCTCACAACTCCACTAGGCAGTGCCCTACTGGGGACTCTGTGTGGGGGCTCTAACCCCACAATTCCCCACTACACTGCCCTAGAAGAGATTTTCTATGAAGGCTCCACACTTGCAGATTTCTGCCTAGACATCCGGGCATTTCCCTACAATCTCCGAAATCTAAGCGGAGGTTCTTAACTTTTGCCTTCTGTGCACCCATAGGCCCAACACCACAGGGAAGTTGCCAAGGCTTGGGGCTTGCACCCTCTGAAACAATGGCCCAAGATGTATCTTAGCCCCTTTTAGCCATGGCTGGACCTGAAGCAGCTGGGATGCAGGGTGCCAACTCCTGAGGCTGCACAGAATAGCAGAGCCCCGGGCCTGGCCCATAAAGTAATATTTGGCTCCTCTTATGCAAATTTTTGCAGCTGGCTTAAATTTCTCCCCAGAAAATGGATTTTTCTTTTCTAATACAGGTTCAGGCTGAAAAATTTTCAAACTTTCATGCTCTGCTTCCCTTTTAAACATAAACTACAATTTCAGAGCATCTCTTAGTGACTACATATGGCTGCATGCTGTTAGGAGCAGCCATGTGTGTTTTTTTTTTTTTCCTTTTTTTAAAATTACCTGCAATTACTTTTGCACAAGCTGTGTCTTGAATGCTTTGCTGCTTAGAAATTTCCTCTGCCAGGTATCTTTTTTATTTTTATTTTTTTATTGCATTTTAGGTTTTGGGGTACATGTGCAGAACATGCAAGACAGTTGCATAGGTACACACATGGCAGTGTGTTTTGCTGCCTTCCTCCCCTTCACCCACATTTGGCATTTCTCCCCAGGCTATACCTCCCCAGCTCCCCGCTGCTGGCTGTCCCTCCCCTATTACCCCCAATAGACCCCAGTGTGTAGTACTCCCTTCCCTGTGTCCATGTGTTCTCATTTTTTATCACCCGCCTATGAGTGAGAATATGCGGTATTTGATTTTCTGTTCTTCTGTCAGTTTGCTGAGAATGATGTTCTCCAGATTCACCCATGTCCCTACAAACGACATGAACTCATAATTTTTGATGGCTGCATAATATTCCATGGTATATATGTGCCACATTTTCCCAATCCAGTCTATCATCGATGGGCATTTGGGTTGGTTCCAGGTCTTTGCTATTGTAAACAGTGCTGCAATGAACATTCATGTGCATTTGTCCTTATAGTAGAACGATTTATAGTCTTTTGGATATATACCCAGTAATGGGATTGCTGGGTCAAATGGAATTTCTATTTCTAAGGAATCACCACACTGTCTTCTACAATGGTTGAATTAATTTACACTCCCACCAACAGTGTAAAAGTGTTCCTATTTCTCCACATCCTCTCCAGCATCTGTTGTCTCCAGATTTTTTAATGATCGCCATTCTAACTGGCGTGAGATGGTATCTCAATGTGGTTTTGATTTGCATCTCTCTAATGACCAGTGATGATGGGCATTTTTTCATATGTTTGTTGGCCTCATATATGTCTTCTTTTGTAAAGTGTCTGTTCATATCCTTTGCCCATTTTTGAATGGGCTTGTTTGTTTTTTTCCTGTAAATCTGTTTGAGTTCTTTGTAAATTCTGGATATCAGCCCTTTGTCAGATGGGTAAACTGCAAAAATTTTTTCCCATTCTGTTGGTTGCTGATTCGCTCTAGTGACTGTTTCTTTTGCCGTGCAGAAGCTGTGGAGTTTGATTAGGTCCCATTTGTCTATTTTGGCTTTTGTTGCCAATGCTTTTGGTGTTTTGGTCATGAAGTCCTTGCCAGATATCTTAAATCATCTTTCTCAAGTTCTAAGTTCCACTGATCCCTCGAGCAGGGGCACAATCTGCCAGTCTCTTTGCTAAAGCATAGCAAGAGTGACCTCTGCTCCAGTTCCCAGTAAGTTCTTCATCTCTATGTGAGACCACCCTATCCATATATCACTATCAGCATTTTGGTTAAAACCATTCAACAAGTCTATAGGAAGTTCCAAATTTTCCCTCATCTTCCTGTCTTCTTCTGAGCCCTCCAAACTGTTCCAACCTCTGCCTGTTACCCAGTTCCAAAGTCGCTTCCACATTTTCAGAACATAAAAGAGAAGAAAAACGGAACACTACTCTAGAAGCTTCAATATCCTCAAAGTGAGAAAATGGAAGGGAGGAAATAATCAATAGAGTAATTCAAGAAAATCTTGCCAGAACAAAGAATAAGAGTTGCCAGGCTAAAAGGGCCGCTGTACAGCAATGCCCCACTGAAAGGGCATCTGTACAGCAATTCCCCTCTTTCCTGGCACCAATTTCCTGTATTAGTTCATTTTCACACAAATACAAAGGACAGAATCATGCCCTCCCAACATACAAAAATACCTTCCCTAAAATATAAAAAATTACCCTGAGACGGAGTAATTTATGAAGAGAGGTGTGTAAGAGAGAGAGAGAGAAAGAGAGAGAGAGAGAGAGAGAGAGAGAGAGAGAGAGAGAGCGCGCGCGCGTGCACGCAAGCCACACATGGGCACAAAGGGGGAAGTGCCACACACTTCCAAATACCCAGATCTCATGAGAACTTACTATCTCTAGAACAGCAAGGCGGAAGTCTGCAAAGGGGAGTGCATCACTTGAGATCAGGAGTTTGAAACCAGCTTGGCAAATATGTTGAAACCCTGTCTCTAGTAAAAATACAAAACAGTCAGCTGGGTGTGGTGGTGGGAGCCTGTAATCCCAAGTACTTGGGAGGCTGAGGCAAAAGAACTGCTTGAACCCAGGAGGTGGAGGCTACAGTGAGCTGAGATGGTGACACTGCACTCCAACCTGGGCAACAGAGCGAAACTCTGTCTCAAAAAAAAAAAAAAAGTACCTATCAAAGCTGGGCATGGTGGCTCACACTTAAAATCCCAACCAGGGCAATATAGTAAGACCTCCTATCTATAAAAAATTGCTAGTGAAGTGAGAGACTGAGCAGGGAGGACTGCCTGAGTTAGGGAGGCAGAGGTTGCAGTGAGCTGACATTGAGCCACCGCACTTCAGCTAGGTGACAAAAGAACACATCAATACTTGCAGTGCTTTCAGTCTTTCCAGTGAGCGACTAAAATAGGCATAGAGCAGAATAAATGATGAGTGGCTTGATAACCATGTTTGCAGCTCAGGTCCAACAAAGCAATGCTCTGCCTTCTTGTTTCGGCTTTCATTTTGTAAACAAGTGTCCTTTTCATGGTCTATTTAGTGCCATGTTTTCACCTTTTTGTGCTGTTTTTTTGGTGATTTCGCTATTTTAAATGGCTCCCAAGTGTAGTGCTGAAATGCTGTCCAGCGTTCCTCAGCACCACAAGGCTGACATGAGTCTTACAGAGAAAACAGATGTATCAGGCATTGAGTTATAGTGTTGCTGGCCTTGAGTTCAATGTTAATGAATCAACAATATATATTATTTTTTTTAGCAGAAATACACATAAAACAAGGTTATGTATTGATCCACTGATAAAAATGTTATAACCAGAGGCTCAGAGGAACCCCACCCTGTATTTCCTCTAGGAACAGAGGTTCAGTAATCACTAACTTGGTGTTCATGTAAACTTTATAGAATACAACTAGCGGCCAGGTGTGGTGTTTCACGTCTGTAATCCCAGCACTTAGGGAGGCCGAAGAGAGCAGATCACTTGAGGTCAGGAGTTCAAAAGTAGGCTGGCCAACATAGTGAAACCCCGTCTCTAATAAAAATATTTTAAAAATTAGCTGGGTGTGGTGCTGGTGCCTGTAATTCTAGCTACTTGGGAGGCTGAGGCAGGAGAATCACTTGAACCCAGGAAGTGGAGGTTGCAGTGAGATTGTACCATTGCACTCCAGCCTGGGTGACAAGAGCGAGACTCCATCTCAAAATAAATAAATAAAAGAACACAACTACCACATAAAACAAGAATTAATTACACATACATACACAAATTCATATAGTATCATACATTTTCTTTGTAACCTGAATACACAATGATACCTGGGGAGTTCGGCCCAGTCCCCACATCTTATCTGGACTTGGCTGGTCTTGCCCAAGTGATGATGAAGCTCTTGCTCTCCCCTCAAGGAAAGAAGTTCAGCTGATCTCATTTCACCCCATGGGAGTGTCCCACTCTGACCTGCTCCTGGGAGCTGGAGCTAAGCCAAGTGAAGAGCAGTCCTCTGACTACTCCTCTGCTGGAAATCCACGCTGGTCCATATAATGATCCAGCTAAACGCTCCATATACGTTGGGTCCCGAGTTTCCAAAGGTTCATTTGTGACCCTGCCCAGTAATTTCTCCAGAGTCTCTTGGAAACTCTCAGGGAAGCTAAAGGCAGATTCTGTTCAGCTTCTCTTCTAAGGGCTTCCCCCTAACAGTGCAAACTGCTCTTTCCTCACATGGTGAGGCTTGGGCTTGCTATTCCATGTTTCGTAACTAAACAACATGTGGCTCAGATAGAAATGGATATACTGGAAGTAAACCTGCAGAGAAAGGCAAGAGGATTATCAAAACAAAGGTCTAGTTAGCAGTTATGGACATGTGGATGAGATGTTCTTTTTCTTTTCTTTTGACTATTACAAAAGTTTATTTAACAGAAAGTCTAATATGAAAATGTACATGACCTAATTTTTACATCATAGTAAAACAGGCCCTATGGAGAGAGGACATGGGTTTCTCCGCTAAATAGCCATTATTTATACATGTTCCAAGGCTTCTAACATGATGATACTATTTCCTCGTATTACCACCATTCCAATATTGTTCTGTTGTCCGCTAGTCGCCATCTCCACACATTCATCTATCACAAGATTTATAAAGGGATCAAATCCCCGCAATATGCCTTGGACATGTTTGCCACCATTTAATTTCAATGATAACTTCTTGTCCAAAAATTTTTTCAACTCGGGAGGGTGAGCTTTGCTCATGATGGCTACTCCGTGGGCACACAGATGATGTTCTATTTCTTAATATGAGTAGTGGATGTGTGACGTTTGTTTTATTCTTATTTTACTGGCTACATTCTTTTGTACACTCTTCTAAATGTTACAACACATTTCACACACATACATAAAAATTCTATTCTCAAAGAAAATAACTGGCTGGCCATATATCTTTAAAATGGCAGATATTATTTAGATTTTTTAAAAAGACAAACTTCTTAAGAGAATATGAGAATGTTTAGTAAGTAAGGCTTTTCTAAGCAATATAGGGAAAGTGAAACTAGGTAGAGCACACTGTAAATTTGATAATAAATAAGTGTAACACTTTAATATTGGCAAAAGGTTCCATAAACAAACTCAAATAACAAGTGGGGAGAAATATGGGTAACAAATGTAACAAATAATATAACAAATATAACAAGAAACTGATATATGACCAAGCATTACTGAAGAGGAAATATGTCATTCACATACATCTTAGGTAAATAAAAGACGTATGCCTAGTTAATAACTTATTTATATTTTCAAATGGCTGGAAGAGAGGATTTTGAATGTTTCTAACACAAAGGAGTGATAAATGTCTAAGGTGATAGATACGCTAATTACCCAGATCTGGTCGTTACACACTGTATCTATTTACTGAAATATCACTATGAGCTGGTTGTGGTGTCTCTTAACTATAATTCCAGAACTTTGTGAGGCCAAGACAAGAGGACATTTAAGGCCAGGGTTTGAGACCATCCTGGGAAACACATTGAGATCTCACTTCTACTTTATTAAAAAAATAAAAATAAAAAAGCAAAATATCACTATGTATCCTAGAAATATGCACAATTATCATGTCGATTAAAAAGAAAAAATTAGGCCGGGCACAGTGGCTCACGCCTATAATCCCAGCACTTTTGGAGGCCAAGGTGGGCAGATCGCTTGAGGTCAGGAGTTCAAGACCAGCCTGACCAACATGGTGAACCTATCTACTAAAAATACAAAAGTTAGCTGGGCAAGGTGGTGGGCACCTGTACTCCCAGTACTGGGGCCGAAGAACTGCTTGAACCCAGGAGGCACAGGTTACAGTGAGCTGAGATTGTGCTACTGCACTCCAGTCTGGGCAACAAGAGTGAAACTCTGTCTCAAAAATAAATAATTTAAAAAGTATGCCAAAAAATTTTCAGTCCTCCAAAATTTTCAATGCCATTCATAAAAAAGTCTAGTTCAAGCAAGACTCATGAAAATCTCAAAATAGAAGCTTGAGGCATGACCAGTAATATAAAAGGTAACCAAACAATCCTGTGAATCACAACTGGCTTTATTCTTAGTTAAGATGGACCCTGTGCCCACCTGCCTGCCTCCAAAGAATTCAGCTGTTCTCACATTCTGCAAGAGTTCTAGCTTAGGTACCACCCACAAGTGAGAATATACTGTAGTCCTAGCAATCCGAAGTTTTGCTTTCTGAGGTTTCAGTTATCCGTGGTCAATAGTGGTCTGAAAATATTAAATGGAAAATTCTAGAGACAAACAATTCATAAGTTTTAAACTACATGCTGTTTTAAATAGTGTGATGAAATCGTGCACTGTCCCACCCAGGAAGTGAATCATCCCTTTGCTTGGTGTAACTGTGCTGTATATCTGCCCATCACTCACTTAGCAGCTGGTTATCAGATGAAAAACAGGTTACATAGGGTTCCGTACTATCCATAGGTTCAGGCAACCACTGGGTAGTCTTGGAAAAATATCCCCCTCAGATAAAGGGTCACCACTGTAAACAGGCAGAATCAAGGCTTTTGCCCTATGCTAACCTTTTTTTAGCTTCCTCATACAAGTACATGTTTGCTACATCTCCTTTTCACTTGCCCAGTTACCTTGGGTCTAATGTCCTGTACTTAACCCTATTTTATACAATGTTTTTATTAGTGACTCAGAAAATGACAGTAGGCCAGGTGCGATGGCTCAAGCCTATAATCCTAGCATTTTGGGATGCTGAGACAGGAGAATTCCTTGAGCCCAGGAGTTTGAGACACACCTAGACAACATAGGGAGACCCTGTCTCTATTTAAAGAAAAAAAAAAAAAGACAGCAAATATTTATAAGCTTGTGCATAAAACAGTTAAAATACTGAATGACAGAACAGAGATTGAAGAGAGGCAAATGAATGTGCAAAACAAGAGGACCTTTTTTTTTTGGTGACAGAGTCTTGCTCTGCTCTGCTGCCCAGGCTTGAGTGTGGCAACATGATCTAGCCTCACTGCAACCTCTGCCTCTCGGGTTCAAGTGATTCTCCCACCTTAGCCTCCCAGGTAGCTGGGATTACAAGCGCCCACCACCATGCCCAGCTAATTTTTGTATTTTTAGTAGAGACGAGTTTTGCCACGATGGCTAGGCTGGTCTCAAACTCCTGACCTCAGGTGATCCACCCGCCTCGGCCTTCCAAAGTGCTGGGATCACCACGCCAGCAAGATGACTTTTAAAAGAACTTCATGCTGGTGCTGTGGCTCAGGCCTGTAATCCTAGAATTTTGGGAAGCTGAGGCAGGTGGATCACCTAAGGTCAGGAGTTTGAGATGAGCCTGGCTAACATGGTGAAACCTCATTTCTACTAAAAAATAAAAAATAAATAAAATTAGAAAGGCGTGTGACGTGTGCCTGTAATCTGAGCTACTCTGAAGGCTGACACCAGATAATCACTTGAACCTGGAAGGTGGAAGTTGCAGTGAGTCAAGATCACACTATTGCACTCCAGTTTAGGCAACAAGAGTGAAACTGTCTCAAAAAAAAAAAAAAAAAGAAAAAAAAAAAAAAGAAAAAAGACTTCATACAAAGTCTTTGCCTTTGGATAAAACAATAATTCATGTGATAAAAAATCCTGAATTAATTAACTAAGTAGAACCTTTCCTTCAATATTAGCCCAAGATGGGATGCAGTTGTTAAAAATGCCAGCAAATGAACAAGCAAGCTTAGGTTGCATTAATAACCATACAAGATCCATAAGTGTGATTTATCTACAACATTTCACTCTTGCCAGACCATATGTGAAGAACTACATTCAGTCGTGTGTGTCTTGTTTTAAAGTGGAAAACAAGTACAGCAGTATATACAGTTACATAGTTAGTATATATAGTATATAGACAGAATGGCAGAGTATCTAGAAACTACACCAAAAGAAATTACTAAAGGACAAAATAGGCTTTTTAGCAAAGGAGCTGGGAACAGGCAATACTGAGGGGATGCCACAGCTCCATATAGAGCTATCACAAAGAGGCAGTGCACTCAGTTCTTTGTAGCTACTAAGGTCAAAATTAAATGCAACTTGGTATCCTGGATCCCACAACAGAAAAGGGATATTAGTAGAAAAAAACAGTAAGACTCCAATAAAGTCGGGAGCTTTGTAAGTAATAATGTACCAGTGTTGGTTTCTTAGTTTTGACAAATATACCAAGGTACTGCAAAATGTTAACATTGGGAGAAACCAGGTAAGGAATATATGGGAAGTCTCTATACTATCTTTGCAACTTTTCTGTAAATCAAAAACTGTCTCAAAATAAAACTTCATTTTTAAAAAGTAAGTAACAAGCAGGCAGGTGGTTCAAAGAATGATTCTCTCATGGTACAGTGAATGCTCTGTCAATGCATGCATTATGTTCAGAGATTAAAAGACAAACTGAAACATGTTTCTGAAAGGGTTTCTGTTTATTTCATAGGACATTGGTACCACCTAAACTGGAGCTCAAATGAGTTTAGTAGGGCCATTAACATTTATACTGGAGTCTGAAAACCAGAATGTAAAGAACAAAGCTAACTGAAGTAGATCCATCAACACTAGGAAAGCAACAATTCTGTATTTGCAATAATGTTATTAATACAATCAATTCTTCTACCAGTTTTGAGAAGGATGCCAAAGCCTACCATGGTTAGGTCAATGAAAAACTGCATATATGATGGTGGTCCCACAAGATTATTATATCATATTTTTCCTGATACCTTTTCTATGTTTAGATATGTTTAGAACCACAAATACCATTGTGTTGTAACTGCCTACAATATTTAGTACAGCAACATTATTATGCAGGTTTCTAGCTTAGAAACAATAAGCTATCCATATAGCCTAGGTAGGCTGTACCATCTAGGTTTGTGTTAGTACACTCTATGATATTCACACCATGACAAAATTGTCTAACAATGCATCTCTGATTGCATTTGTGTTGCCAGGCAACATGTGACAAACTACAGGTTATAACTCAGTAAAATCAATTTAGTCACTATAGCTCTCAACTGAGAGGTATCACCCCCACGGGACATTCTAGAACTGTATTAGGACTACTTTTTAGTCATCACAATGATTAGGGGCCCTACTGGCATTTATTGAGGAAAAGTGCCAAAGATGCTAAGTGTTTTGCAATGCACAGAAAATGCAATAAAGAATTGTTCAGCATCCTAACATGATTTTCTAAACCTCCTACCAGACATTCAAGAAGGAAACTAAAAAATCAGATGGCAAAACCCAAAAGTTTAAAACTACATGAGGCTGGGGGCCGAGCATAGTGGCTCACACCTGTAATGCCAGCAATTTGGGAGGCTAAGGCAGGCAGACCCCTTGAGATCAGGTGTTTGAGACCAGCCTAACCAACATGGTGAAACCTTGTCTCTACCAAAAAATACAAAAATTAATTGGGCATGACGGTGCATGCCTGGTAGTCCCAGCTACTCAGGAGGCTGAGGTGGGAGAGTCACTTGAACCTGGGAGGCAGAGGTTGCAGTCAGCCAACATCCTGCCACTGCATTCCAGCCTACGTAACAGAGAGAGACCCTGCCTCAAAAAAATTTAAAAATGAATGAATGAATGAATTAAAATTATGTAAGGCTGAGAGTAGTGGCTCACACCTGTAATCCCAGGACTTTGGGAGGCAGAGCAGGAAGATCACTGGAGACTAGGAGCTTAAGATCAGCCTGGGCAACAAATAGTGAGACCCCATTCCTACAAAAAAGAAAAAGTAAACCCACAAAACAAAACAAAAAAACCCCAAAACTTTAGCTGGGCATGGCAGTGCATGTCTGTAGCCCTAGCTGCTCAAGATGCTGAGGTGGGAGGATCACTTGAGCCCAGGAGTTCAAAGCTGCAGTGAGCAGCTATGATTGTGCCACCGCAATCCAGCCTGGGCAACAGAGCAAGACCCTGACTCTCCAAAAAAAAAAAAAGGTAAAATTATCTAAGCACAATACCTAATTCAAATTTTCACCTTAACGCACAATATTATTTGTAGTTTTAGTAAACTACTTATTTTCTAGTATGTCACTATTATACAAATTAATATTGTTTTGCTTCATTTAGGACTTTACCTAAACATTCCAGAAATTGGATGCAAAGCTGCTTGTAGCTGACTTTCCAGTACACTGTACCTGATCCGACTGCTTTCAGAGCTGTAACTTCCAAATATAAAATAGAGACTGCTGAAGAGATTTATTTCCAAACATCATTAAGTTACAAGGGGCTTATGAAACACAGGGTTCTTGCTAGATTTTATTAACATTAAAAAATATATTTCACATCAATGTCAGCTTATACTTCACTTTTTGTGACATAAGAGGTAGAAACCTAAGTTGTAAAAATTAAATGATGAACTTATTTGAGGTTGCCATTTTTAACTCGAATAATGCCCCCTAAAGTCTACTACACATCTATTACTGTTTCTTTTTCTAATCCTTTATTCCTCATTGCCTATCAAGGGATATTTTCTCTAGGGGACATTTAAGTACTAGGGGCTGAATGTAGGCAGATAACAGCGGATTCTACCAGGTTTTCTGTGAGATTTCTTCACTTCCTTGTCTCATGTCAGGTCCTCTCATAGGGAATTATTTTGACACTAAATTAAGGTCAAACTCACTGATGACTACGTGATACTATTTTTATGTTTCCATGTGGGAAGTATGTAATTTGTCTTATGTTATCCCTACATCAAACAAAATTATTTCCCCCTTATGCAATAATTCTGCTTTTACTCATTCTAGCAGTTTTCATTCTGGTATCTACCCATATCTATAGGATACCCATATCTATTGTGTAGGAAAGTGAAAGTTCTTCTGAGCTTATTTAAGTCCAACTTATTTATTGTAAGTAGGTATAGGTACTAAACTACTTCACTGTAATGTCAGATTCAAATGCAGTTAAAGACTCATCTTTTTTTTTTAGACGGAGTCTCTCTGTGTGGCCCAAGCTGGAGTACACTGGTGCAATTTTGGCTCACTGTAACCTCTGACTCCTGGATTCAAGCTATTCTCCTGCCTCAGCCTCCTAAGTAGCTGGGACTATAGATGCGTGCTACCATGCCTGGCAAATTTTTTTTTTGTATTTTTAGTAGAGATGGGGTTTCACTGTGTTAGCCAGGATGGTCTTGATCTCCTGATCTCATGATCTGCCGGCCTCAGCCTCCCAAAATGCTGGGATTACTGGCATGAGACACAGTGCCTGGCCTAAGACTCATCTATTAATTTTATTTCAGGATAATCAATAGGCATTAAATTATTTGTTATAAAAAATAAATGAGAGGCTGGGCACAGTGGTTCATGCCTGTAATTCCAGCACTTTGAGAGGCCAAGGTGGGTGGATCAGTTGAGATCAGGCGTCTAAGATCAACCTGGCCAACAATGGTAAAACCCTGTCTCAACTGAAAGCACAACAACAACAAAATTAACTGGGCATGGTGGTACATGCCTGTAATTCCAGCTACTTGGGAGACTAAGGTAGGAGAATCGCTTGAACCTGGGAGGCGGAAGTTGCAGTGAGCCAGATCATGCCACTGTACTCCAGCCTGCACGACACACCTGCAGTGTGACAGACAATACTACACAATGAAGACTCATCTTTCACATAATTGTTAAATGTCCCAAGAGAAAAAAACCTGTTTATAATTACTTGAGTATAGTAGCTAACTCAAGTTTTTATCTAGATACTAAGTACTTTTGCATGATTTTAACATACACACTGAAATCGCCAGAAATGCAATTATTTGGAACTTGACACCATGAGCGGTTCAAAAAGAAACATTGATGGCAATACTGCTTGTGGTGTACGAACTTCAATACAACATGTCTGTTATGGATTGGATTTGAAGCCATCACATTCAAAGAGTATCTGACTTCTTCAAGTAACTTCCTGAGCATCTGTATCTTGAAAGGCATAATATCTTATCACATATCATTTTCATTTTTCCTTTACATTTCAGCATTCTAGTGATTTCTTTAAAGTATGTGAACAAGAGTTCTTTTTAAACATAGATTTTTTTTTTTTTGAGATGGAGTTTCGCTCGTTACCCAGGCTGGAGTGCAATGGCGCGATCTCGGCTCACCGCAACCTCTGCCTCCTGGGTTCAAGCAATTCTCCTGCCTCAGCCTCCCGAGTAGCTGGGACTACAGGTGCGCGCCACCATGCCCAGCTAATTTTGTATTTTTAGTAGAGATGGTGTTTCACCTTGTTGACCAGGATAGTCTCGATCTCTTGACCTCGTGATCCACCCACCTCAGCCTCCCAAAGTGCTGGGATTATATGCGTGAGCCACCGCGCCTGGGCCCCAAACATAGATTTTTAGAAGAGAAAGGGTCTCACTATATTGCCTATGCTGGTCTTGAACTCCTGGCCTCAAGTGATTTTCCCACCTTAACCTCCCAATGTTGGGATTACAGGTAAGAGCCACCGTGCTCAGCCAAGAGTTCCTTATAGAAGAATTCTAATGAATAATCACAGAAATAAAAATGATAAAGCTGGAAAGTCAACCTCTTGCAATCACTATCAAGAATAGATCCAAGAAGCTCACATCAGTGTCAATGTCTGGAAAGCCTGACATGTGAACCCACTGAGACAACCAGATAGTGTAAGCCTGTCAGTATAATTTAATAAGAAGTAAAGGCCAGGCGCGGTGGCTCACGCCTGTAATCCCAGCACTTTGCGCGGGTCATGGGGTCAGGAGTTCGAGACCAGCCTGCCCAACATGGTAAAACTCCGTCTCTACTGAGAATACAAAAATTAGCTAGGCGTGGTGGTGGGTACCTGCAATCTCAGCTACTCAGGAGGTTGAAGCAAGAGAATTGCTTGAACCTGGGAAACAAAGGTTGCAGTGAGCTGAGACTGCACCACTGCACTCCAACCTGGGTGACAAAGAGAGACTCCATCTCAAAAAAAAAAAAAGAAGTATAACACTAACATTTTTATAAAAACATATTCAGCACCTACGAAATATTCTTACCAAAGACAAAAATCTGAATCAAGACTCTAGAACTGATATCCTGAAACTCTGAACATATCTATCATACCAAGAAAAAAAATAATAAAATTTAAATCTTAAAAAAGACTCTAGAACTGAGTACCACTTAAAAGAAATATAGGTGATGAAAGTAATATATTAAAATATCATAAAAATGCAATCCAAAATATGGAAAATACTATCAAAGGAATGATCCAGTTTTTTTCAACAAATAAACGGGATTTTCAAAAGAAGGGCTATTATAAATTAATAGACACTTTAAAGGATATAACCAAATGTAACATGTCGATCTTATTTGAATCCTGATTTTAACAAACTAAAAAGACATATTTGACAAATGAGAAAACTGAACATGAACTGACTATTAAATATTAAAGTATTGTTAATTTAATGAGGTGTGATAACACTGAGATTTCTTTTTTTTTTTTTTTGAGACGGAGTTTCACTGTTGTTACCCAGACTGGAGTGTGATGGCGCAATCCTGGCTCACCGCAACCTCCGCCTCCTGGGTTCAAGCAATTCTCCTGCCTCAGGCTCCCGAGTAGCGCACCACTATGCCCAGCTAACTTTTGTATTTTTAGAAGAGATGGGGTTTCACGTTGTTGACCAGGATGGTCTCAATCTCTTGACCTCCTGATCCACCCGCCTTGGCCTCCCAAAGTGCTGGGATTATAGGTGTGAGCCACCGCGCCTGGCAACACTGAGATTTCTTATATACAAATGTGCGCGCGTGTGTAGTGCATCATTATCCAGCAGTTACGAATAAATACATAAATATTTCTGAGTAAAAGGATATGCAGGTCTGAAATCTGCTTAAAAATGTTCAAACTCAGGCTGGGCGCGGTGGCTCACGCCTATAATCCCAGCACTTTGGGAGGCCAAGGCGGTGGATCACGAGGTCAAGAGATCGAGACCATCCTGGTCAACGAGGTGAAACCCCGTCTCTGCTAAAAATACAAAAATTATCTGGGCATGGTGGTGCGCGCCTGTAGTCCCAGCTACTCGGGAGGCTGAGGCAGGAGAATCGTTTGAACCCAGAAGGCAGAGGTTGCAGTGAGCCGAGATCGTGCCATTGCACTCCAGTCTGGGTAACAACAGTGAAACTCTGTCTCAAAAAAAAAAAAAAAAAATGTTCAAACTCAAAAATGGGAGATAGGCTAGGTGCGGTGGCTCATGCCTGTAATCCTAGCACTTTGGGAGGCCAAGGCAGGAATTTGAGACTAGCCTGGCCAATGTGGTGAAACGCTGTCTCTACTAAAAATACAAAAAATAGCTGGACGTGGTAGCATATGCCTTTAATCCCAGCTACTCAGGAGGCTGAGGCAGGAGAATCACTTCACTTGAACCCGGGAGGCGGAGGCTTCAGTGAGCCGAGATCGTGACATTCCAGTCCAGCCTGGGGAACAAGAACAAAACTCGATCTCAAAAAAAAAAAAAAAAAAGAGAGAGAGAAAGGGGAGTAGGGAAATAAAAAAAAAATGATAAAATGTTGATGGGAGAAGCTAGATAATATATTAAGGTAGTATATCAACTATGTCTTAATCTCAGTTCATACAAAACAAATTACCTCTCAACAGAAACAAGTGACAGAGAATCATCTCAGTGTCTCTTTATTCCAGGTTGACACTATCTGTGGGTTAACACTCTGTAAGCTACTCAATCTGTGATGAGCTCCTCTTATATTATCATCCAACACATCTATTATGTTCATGAGGACAATGACAGTCTTGTGTGATACTCCCTAACGAAGCAAAGATACTGTCTTTGGTTTCTTTTGTTTTATTTTTCCTTTTTTTTCTTTTTTTTGAGACAGGGTCTCACTCTATTGCCTGGGCTGCAGTGCAGTGTCGCAATCATGGCTCACTGCTGCCTCGATCTCCTGGGCTCAGGTGATCCTTTCGTCTCAGCATCCCACGTAGCTGGGACTACAGGCATGTGCCACCATGACTGGCTAATTGTTTTGTATTTTTTGTAGAGATGGGTTTAATCATGTTGTTCAGCTTAGTCTTGAACACCTGGGGACAAGGGACCTGCCTGCCTTGGCCTCCCAAAACGCTGGGATTACAGGTGTGAACCACTGAACCGAGCTGAAAGATACTGTCTGTGGTGATGCTGTGATACACCAGTTTGGAAGCCTGGTCAAAAAAAGACCTAAGTTTGGCCAGGTGCAGTGGTTCATGCCTAATCCCAGCACTATGGGAGGCTGAGGTGAGTGGATCACCTGAGGTCAGGAGTTCAAAACCAGCCTGGCCAACAAAGCAAAACCTTGTTTCTACTAGAAACACAAAAATTAGCTGGGCACAGTCGCATACCCCCGTAGTCCCAGCTACTCAGGAGGCTGAGGCAGAAGAATCGCTTGAAACCGGGAGGCAGCGGTTGCAGTGAGCCAAGATCGCGCCACTGCAATCCAGTGCGGGTGACAGAAAAAAAAAAGCATTGAAATTCCTCACCATGGCCTAAAATGTCCCATATAACCTGGACCCAGCTTACCCCTACCTCATCTTCTCTACTTCTCTTATTTGCCTAGCAGCTCCAACCACCCTGTTGTTCCACAACCAACCTACTGTGTTCCAACTCAGGGTTTTCATACTTAAGGAAGTCTCTGCTCCAATATCACCTCCTCAAAAGGCCTTCCCTGACCATCCTTTCTAAAGCAGCCACACAGACCACTCATCTGACTTACATGGTTATGCAATTTTTTTTTTTTTAACTAAAATAGAGACAGGGTGTCCAGGCTGGTCTCAAACTCTAGGCTTAAGCAATCCTCCCACCTTGGCCTCCCAAAGTATTGACATTACAGGCATGATACACCGCACATGGACAGGTTATGCAATCCTTATTCTCTCACTCTGCTTTCTTTCTTCAGAATATTTATCACCTTCCAAAATTATGTTTCATTTCTACTCTACTCCCCAACCCCCATTCTCCAATAAAACGTAAGCTTCATGGTGAGAAGCTGTTCCTCTTAACTTTCATTACTCTATCCCTAGCTTCAGTAATAGTTTCTGGCACAGTATTTGTCGAATGAATGAATTTTCCCAGTCTCTATTATGTGCCAAAATATGTACTAGGTGCTAGAGATACCTCCAGCTGTTGTCATCTCTCCTTTCCTTCACAGCCAAACCTTTGGGTAGTGTCCTCAATTTCTCATATTCAGTCAGAACTTAACATATTGCAATCTGGGTTCCAGACCACTCCTTTGAAACTGCTCATTAAGTTCCACAACCTTCCCTACTCCAATGGCTCAAGCCAATGAATATGACATTTCTTATCTTCTTGACCTTTCTATAATGCTATTGACCACATTCTTCTTCAGGAAAATCATCTTCTTAAGTTTGAACACCAATACTCTCACCTGGTCCTATTCCCCAGGCTGTTCAGTTTCCTGCTCCTTCAATGTTCAATTCAGTCTCCTTATCTTCTCTATCCATGTTTTCACCATCCCTGAGCAATCACTCTACAATCAGGTACTCCTTTTAGCCTAGACCTCATGTTCACATGTTAAAATCCCTGTAGACATCTCTACCTGATGGCCCTCAGGCATCTCAAACCCAACATGCCAAAAACCAAAGTCCCTTCTTCCCTGCTTCCTGTACCCACCCTCAAAGCATGCTTCTCTGTCCTCTATATGCATTATGATGAATGGCAATGCCCAATTAAAAAGTCAAAAACCTGAGTTTTCTTAGACTTTTTATTCTCCCACAATCCTTATGTCTAATCATTCACCAGATAGATATGCCTCTTATTCACCTCTACAACTACAGCAATTATATTTTCTTGTGGTAACAAAACCATCTCCCTCCTATGCCTTCTTCCCTGCAAATTTATCCTCCAGAGTGCTATCTTTTAGAGCACAAAAATCAGATGTTACTCCCTGGCTCAAAATTTCCTGAAAACTCACTCTTCATCACCCTACCCTCTTGACAAAACTCATCTCCTGGCATTTGTCCCTCCCTTTCTGCCTCAGCAATGCTATCTATGCCTTCCCCTATACCATAAGCCTGGCAATCCATCAACTATCATTCTTTTATGAGATGCCTTCATAAATTCACCATCAAAGTATGGTGCCTCTGTATCTGTTTTTCCACTATATCTGGTAAATATAAATTTATTACAGTTCTTACTACCCTGTATTACAATTACCTCAGAGGACTGAAACTCCCTTTGCTTTTATGTTACCAGTGCCCAGCACATCTCCACAGAGTAAGGATTCAATACATATTTATTAGAAGAATGGATTAAAGCAGAGGTCAGCATACTATGGCCCATGGACAAATCTAGTCCCCCATCTGGTTTGTACAACCTGCTATAGTTTTTACATTTTTAAATGATGGGGCAGGGGGAACCTATAATAATATTTGGTGGTGCCTGAAAATTATATGAAATTCAAATTTCAGTGCCCACAAAGATTTACTAGATCATAATAGCCATATTCATCTGTTTACACAGTCTTATGGTTGCTTTCATACTAAAACAGCAGAGTAGGGTAATTGCAATCAAGACCATGTGGCACACAAAGCCACATTTGCTATCTGGTCCTTCAAAGAAAGAGTCAGATGGCTTCTCAACTAAATATGAATGACCAGGCCGGGCAGGGTGGTTCACGTCTGTAATCCCAGAATTTTGGGAGGCTGAGGCAGGCGGATCACCTGAGGTCTGGAGTTTGAGACCAGCCTGACCAATGTGGAGAAATCCTGTCTCTACTAAAAATACAAAAATATTAGCTGGGCATGGTGGCGAATGCCTGTAATCCCATCTACTTAGGAGGCTGAGGCAGGAGAATCGCTTCAACTTAAGAGGCAGAAGTTGCAGTGAGCCGAGATCGAGCCATTGCACTCCAGCCTGGGCAACAAGAGCAAAACTCCCATCTCAAAAAGTAAATAAATAAACATGAATGAACACGGGCTTTGGTCTCTGATAGAGTTTGATTAAAAATCCCGGCTTTGGCCTGATACAGTGGCTGATGCCTGTAATTCTAGCACTTTGGTAGGCCAAGGCAGGCAGATAACAAGTTCAGGAGATTGAGATCATCCTAGCCAACATGGTAAAAACCCATCTCTACTAAAATACAAAAAATTAGCTGGGTGTGGTGGCGCATGCCTGCAGTCCTAGCTACTCAGGAGGATGAGAGGCAGGGGAATCACTTGAACTGGGAGGTGGAGGTTGCAGTGAGTCAAGATCCCATCACTGCAATCCAGCCTCGGCAACAGAGCAAGACTCGGTTTCAAAAAAGAAAACCTGGCTTTATCTCTTACTACCTACAGGACCTACAACAAATAACCTAATCTCTCTGAAACTCAATTTCCTAATTTGTAAAATGGAATAACATATGCCTTGCTTGGTATATCTGAAATTTTAATAAGCCTTTAAACTGAGGTATATGCCATAGGAACCACTCTAAAAGTTCTTGGTACAGAGTTTAATGTTAAGAACTCAGACCTGGGTTTGAATTCCAGCTCTATCAAACATTGAGTCATCTCAAGCAAGGTACTTAACTTCTCAGTCCGTTAACTTCCCTAACTATAAAACTGAGATAGTGATACATATCTCTTAGGACTGTTAAGAGAATTAAATGAGTTGGTACATGTGAAATGCTTACAACAGTGCCTGGCACATAGTGAGCATTCAATGAATATTAATATAGCAGATGCTTGCTTAATATTAGTTTCTCCCCTTCCTGCCTCTTCATCTACTCTACTTCCCACCCCCATTCCCAAGAAGCTTATATTTAAAGGAAACAGACAAGTAAGTCAACACTCATATGACAAGTGCTATTATACTATAGAAGATGGCTTCCAAGTCAATACACAAGGGTCCTCCTCACAGCGTTCTGACTTCACTGACCCTGACTCCTCTGTCTCTTGCTTCTAAATATGAACCTACTTCTCCCTTCTCTTGAACTCCCAACCTCAGGTGATCCACCAGCCTTGGCATCCAAAGTGCTTGGATTACAGGCGTGAGCCACCACACCCAGCCTCACTTCTCCCTTCTCTACACTTCCTTCCTTAGAAATCTAGCTTATCCTCAGGCTTTAATGTAGAAGACTGATTTTTTGTGTGTGTGGGGGGGCGGGGGGGAACAGAATCTCGCTTTGTTGCCAGGCTGGAGTGCAGTGGGGCGATCTTGGCTCACTACCACCTCTACCTCCCGGGTTCAAGCAATTCTCCTAGCTCTGCCTCCCGAGTAGCTGGGGTTACAGGGGCACCACCACGCCCAGCTGATTTTTGCATTTTTACTAGAGACGGATTTCACTATGTTGGCCAGGATGGTCTTGATATCTTGACCTCATGATCTGCCCGCCTTGTCCTCCCAAAGTTCTGGGATTACAGGCATGAGCCACTGCATCCAGCAAGACTATGAAATTCTTATCTCTAGCCCCTGAACCCCTGAATATCTGCTATATTAGTATTTCCCACTTCTGATTTCTATCTAATGGCCTACTATCACCTTAAATTCAAAGTATCAAAAGCTGAAAATGATTCTTTTTCCTATCTCTCCCCTCCTAGCTTCCCAATTTACTAGAAGAACCTGCAATTCTTCTGGTACTCTAGCTGATTGTCCTGCAATTTATGCTTTATTCCTTGCTCTCTCAACAATGAGCCTTTATCTTAAGGCATCTTTTTCCTTTCTGTTCCTATGACCATTGACTAATTCAGGTCCTTTTTATTTCAAGCTCAGGCTCATTCCAGCAAAAAGCTCTACAGGTCTCCCTGCCACAGGCACAGGCACAGGCACCAATCTCTCTCACACACACACACTCACTACTATACCAATCTTCTAAAATGATACCACTTTTCATTGTTCCCTTTCTGTGGTTAAAACTTTGAATGCACTACTCCTTCCTCCATCCCACAATCTGTACGGGAAAAGGACAAGACTGACCTTCATGTGGCAATCAAAATCCTTCACTTATCGACCCTGCTCCCACCACCATTTCTTATTACCATGATAAAAAATACCATCACCTTACATTTATGCTGTGCTTTATCTAACTTAGAAAACCTTATAACATGCATTGGCATTTCATCTTGACAAAAGCCTTAGAGAGTAGCTAAACAGGCATTAGTGTCCTCCTTTCACATATGAGAAAACAGACTACTAGCACTGAACTGGAAGCCCAAACAAATGAGTCCCTGTCCCACTCCCCCTCGGAACCTTAGGTAAGTCAATCAACCTTTCTAATATACCTCACTCCCACTGCTAACATACGGGAGTCTCCTGTTCCACAAATTCTGATCTCCTCACTTTTGTCCCACCTGCCTCTCTCCAACACACTGCATGTTTTCTTAGCTATGCACTTTACCTCCTACATCCTCTCACTTGGCAGATCCCTTTCCCCCAACTCATCCTATAAAAATACAGTATTTCTTCAAGTCTTAAGTTTAAATGCCACCCTAAGGAAATCCCTTCTCTGACACCCAAATAACACCTCTTTCCACTTGCCAACACTACACAACTTGTAGTAAATGAGTTGACACTTTTAATTGCCCCAGTCATACAAGGGCTATTTTATTTTAAATACTTAGACCCTACTGCTTCAGTCATACCACATACTTCAGGAGAAGTTTTCTATATGCCTCACAGGACCTATCATAATACCTTGCACATAAGGACCCAAAGTTTTAGGTTAGACAGCCAAGGCCTGTGTTTTTCGATAGTAGATCACACTCCATGAACCGAATGAGAAATCAATCAAGAAGGTCGCAACTAGTATTTTGGTTTTAAGAAGCAGAATAAAAAGGTATATGTTTCAAAGTAACCGTTAAGTATTATTTTGCACTACTCTTGCTTCATTACATATGTATGTGACTACTGGATCAGAATATAAAATATATTTCTCAGCATGTGTTATATTTTTTTAAAACTTTGAAAGCTGCTAATGTAGATGACCCAGTTTCTAGACCCAAGGGTTTTACATTCAAATAGGAAGATTCACGTTCCACCAAACACCACACCCTCCAGGAAACATCAGCTAAACAGAGTAATAGGGGTCAAGAAAGATAAAGCTTAAAAGAATGGTAAATGTAGTGGAAAGTTTGTAAAGAAATGTTCTTAGAAATGTTTGGGACACACACTGAATATTTAACTTTCCACCCTCTGCCATTTATTTAGTCAAAAAGACCTTTCTACAGAAGCAGGGCTTCCATAATGTGTTTCTCAAAGCATGCACAGTTCAACAGTGCTCAACATGGCCTACAATGCAAGAGTGTGCAAGATCTGGCTCCAAGTATGCCAACTTCATTTCCTACCCCTTTCCACCCACCACAAGGCCTCTGTGGTGTTGTTCCACGAACATTCCAATTTCAGGACCTCTACATTTGCTGTATCCTCAACCCAATTTTTTCTCCTTTAAATATTTATCATTTAACTGAGGGTTTTCCTTAAATGCTCATCTTCAATTAGACGTTTCCTGACCACCCCATCTAAAGGAGCCCATTCTCTGGCCAGCCACGGTGGCTCATACTTGTAATCCCAGCACATTGGGAGGCTGAGGCAATAGGATTGTTTGAACCCAAGAGTTCAAGGCCATCCTGGGCAACATAGTGAGACCTCATCTTCACAAAATAAATAAATAATAAAAGTTTCTTAAAAAAAAAAAAAAAGTAAATAAAGTAGCCCACACTCTGTATGTTGCTAACATAGGTTAAAAAATAATTTTAAGGTGAAAAAGAAATGAAAAATCTAGATTCTTAGGAGAGAAACTGAAGCAGAAAGCCACACCCGAGTGTGATGGCTGACATCTGTTATCCTAGCATTTTGGGAGGCTGAGGTGAGAAGACTCATGAACTCAGGAGTTTGAGACCAGCCTGGGCAACACAGCAAGATACCATCTCTAAAAAAAAAAAAAAAATACATATAGAGTGTGGGCTACTTTACCTATTTTTTAAAAGAAACTTCTATTATTTACTTATTTTGTGAAGATGGAGTCTTACCATGTTGCCCAGGTTGGTCTCAAACTCCTGGACTCAAATAATTCTCCTGACTTGGCCTCCTAAAGGGCTGGAATTACAAGCATGAGCCATGGCCAGCCAGAGTATAAGCTGCTTTACACAGGGTGGTAAGCAAAAGCCTAGCAGATCCTCAATGCATAAAACTGAATATGTTTTTCAGCTCAGCCATTTTTCAATGAAAATTTAGCACCTGAATTAAAATATGCTGAATGTGAAACTGAAGATTTAAGACTTTGGTGGGCATAGGGACTCACTCTTGTAATCCCAGCACTTTAGGAGACCAAGGCCGGAGGACTGCTTGAGGTCAGAAGCTCAGGACTTGCCTGGGCAACATAGGATGACTCCATCTCTATAAAAAATACAAAAGTTGTATTTTTTTGTATTGTATATGGCTGAGGATACAAAAGTTTGCTGGGCACGGTGGCTCACACCTGTAATCCTAGCACTTTGGGAGGCCGAGGCAGGCAGACACAAGGTCAGGAGATCAAAACCATCCTGGCCAACATAGTGGAACCCCGTCTCTACTAAAATACAAAAATTAGCTAGGCATGGTGGTGCGTGCCTGTAGTCCCAGCTACTTGGGAGGCTGAGACAGGGGAATCACTTGAACCCTGAGCAGAGGTTGCAGTGAGTAGAGATCATGCCCTTATAATCTAGCCTGGCGACGGAGCAAGACTCTCTCAAAAAAAAACAAAAAAAAAACCTCTGTAGTCCTATCTACTCAGGCGGTTGAGGTGGGAGAATCGCTTGAGGCTGGGAGGTTGAGGGTGCAGTGAGGTACGATCACAATCCCACACTCCAGCCTGGGCAACAAAGTAAAACCCTGTCTCTTAAAAAAAAAAATTAAGACTTTGTAAGAAAGAAATATAAAAATTTAAACAATTCTTATGTCAGTTACATGGTTTTTTTTTTTTTTGAGACGGAGTTTCGCTCTTGTTACCCAGGCTGGAGTGCAATGGCACGATCTCAGCTCACCGCAACCTCCGCCTCCTGCGTTCAAGCAATTCTCCTGCTTCAGCCTCCCGAGTAGCTGGGACTACAGGCGCGCGCCACCATGCCCAGCTAATTTTTGTATTTTTAGTAGAGACGGGGTTTCACCTTGTTGACCAGGATGGTCTCGATCTCTTGACCTCGTGATCTACCCACCTTGGCCTCCCAAAGTACTGGGATTATAGGCGTGAGCCACCATGCCCCGCCTGTCAGTTACATGTTAAAATAGTATTTTGGATATATTGGGTTGTTGTTTAACTACTAATTTCACCTCCTTTATTTAAAATGTGGCTACCAGGGAATTTAAGAGTATGTATATAGCTTACATTAGATTTCTATGGGATAAGCAATGAGTAGATTTGCTATCTCTCTTCCACTGGGTGGCTGTTTAAAAGCTTATAGAAAATGATCTAGATGCAGCCATAAAAAAAAGATGAGTTCATATCCTTTGCAGGGACATGGATGAAGCTGGAAACCATCATTCTCAGCAAACTAACACAGGAACACAAAACCAAATACCACATGTTCTTATAAGTAGGAGCTGAACAAGGAGAACACATGGACACAGAGAGGGGAACAGCACACACCAGCCTGTTGGGAATGGGAAGGCTAGGGGAGGGGTAGCATTAGGAGAAATACCGAATGTAGATGACGGGTTGATGGGTGCAGCAAACCACCATGGCACATGTATACCTATGAAACAAACCTATATGTTCTGCATATGTATCCCAGAACTTAGAATAACAAAGAAATATGAAGATATACAGTAGGTCTGACTCAGAGTGAAGACCCTTGACACTGGTCTAATATAGGAACACTTATATTTCTCATCCACTGTCATCTGACGTTCTTATCACCAGTTTTCCTAGAGAAGAGAAAATCAGTCCTACCTCTGTGAGCTCTATGTATATTCATATTAATAGGCATACAAACACACTGTGTAATTTACATTGACTTAGAATTGCAATGAACTGCACACAAATCCCTAACAGTGTCAGGCTGAACATCAAGATCTCTGAATATGAAAACTACCTGGGTTCCCATTCATCATCTAACTATCCTCAACTCCCAGAATATATTTCATTATAGAAAAGAAGAAACACATCTGTAACTGCTTTATATAATCCCTGCCTGTTCTACTTCAACATCCTTAACTCCTAATTTAGAAAACTCTGCTCACACTGCCAAACCTCTACAACCACAGAAGACACCAAAGGAGTCCAGCTATTCACCCCAACAGTTGTTAGTTATCTAACCATTCACAAAAACCCATAATGCGAAAAACTACACTGAAAACACAAAAATGAATGTGAAATCCCTTTAGCTCTCTTCTGGGTATCAAAAGATAATTACAAATCTATGAGGAATCACCGGGCATGGTGGCATGTGTGTCAGGCCTGCAATCCCAGCACACTGGGAGGCTGAGGCAGGCGGATCAGCTGAGGTCAGAGATTTGAGACCAGCCTGGCCAACATGGTGAAACTCTGTCTCTACTTAAAAAATATAAAAATTGGGCTGGGCATGGTGGCTCACGCCTGTAATTCTAGCACTCTATGAGGTTGAGGGAGACGGATCACCTGAGGTTAAGAGTTCGAGACTAGCCTGGCCAATACAGTGAAACCCCATCTCTACTAAAAATACAAAAATTAGCCAGGTGTGGTGGCAGGTGGCTGTAATCCCAGCTACTCAGGAGGCTAAGGCAGGAAAATCACTTGAACCCTGGAGGCAGAGGTTGCAGTGAGCTGAGATTGTGCCACTGCACTCCAGCCTAGGCACAAAGAGCGAAATTCCAACTCAAAAAAAAAAAAATTAGCCAGGCGTGGAAGCAGGCGCCTGTAATCCCAGCTACTCAGGAGGCTGAGGCAGGAGAATCACTTGAGCCCAGGGGGTGGAGGCTGCAGTGAGCTGAGATCCCAGTACTGAACTCCAGCCTGGCCGATAGGGTGAGACTCTGTCTAAAAAAAGAAAAGCCTGGAGAATAAGGCAGGGGTGCTACTGGAGGGTCTCTTTACGTTGTTGAGTAGGGAGGATGACAGAGTCTTAAATGAATAAACGTCATAACTAAATAACAAATTATAGTCAAATAAACTCATCAACTTAGTACTCTAAAAAGCGGCTCTCCTAATGAAAATCCTTTTACTATAGAAAAAGATGATACTGATGAAACTGGCACTGAGTACCAAAAAGAGAGAAAAAAATCCATTTTCCTCGCCAATACCCCTGTGGCCACCGGCAAAGTTTGATGGACTGCTGGCTGGCACTGGTGGCCACAGAAGAGATAAGACTGGGCCCGGTGTGGTGCTTCACGCCTATAATCCCAGCACTTTGTGAAGCTGAGGCAGAAGGATCACTTAAGGCCAAGAGTTCAAGACCAGCCTGGATGACACAATGAGAGCCTACCTCTACAAAAAATTTAAAAATTATCCAGGTGTGGCGGCACATGCCTACAGTCCCAGCTACTTGGGAGGCTGAGGCAAGAGGATCACTTAAGCCCAGAGGTTGAGGCTGCAGTAAGCCCTGTCTGTCACTATACTCCAGCCTGAGTGAGAGAGTGAGACCCTGCCTCAAGACAAAAGAAAAAGAAGAGATGAGGCTAATTGACTGTATATATGCACTGGGTGGACTCATAATTCTACTTCGCTACAACTCAGAGGGCCAACAACGAAAAACAATTTTACAGGCAGTTACTATGATTAACAAATACCAAGAGGACCACTAGGGAGGTAGCAGAGAGGGCAAGGTGGAGGGTGCCAAACAAGGCAATTCATCTCTTGTTCATTTCACTGGGCAGAGTTTTCACCTCCTGGTACTTAGCTCTCAAGACATTCCACCAGGCATGAGAGCTGGTTTTCTGTTTCTAACATCCTGTAGCTACAGAGCCATTTCTAAGCTTCATACCCACCTTGCCTGTCTTTCCTCTACTCAGACCCACCTGGCCACTGGTACTTACCAACCCAAGAACAGCCTGTCTTTTCGACTCCTCACTTCCCATGTAATCTAGGTAATACATTCCCTTAGGAAACTGTCTGCCTTATCCCAGATCTTTAACATAAATCAAGACATGGCTAACATATAAAAATCACCACATTTTAAGATGCTCTGATCTGTATACTGTTTAACGAGTTCTTTCCTCAATTTTAATGAATAATTTCAATAACTGAAAAAAAAATACCTTGTCATTTTAAGGAAATGAAAATCATGGTCCTTAGAACACTAAAATTAATTAAAAAATTAATCTTCTATAAATAAAGACTTATTAGGAATAGTATTCTAGTTTTAACTTTTTTTTTATTTTTCTGAGATGAAGTCTCACACTGTTGCCCAGGCTGGAATGCACTGGCGTGATCTCAGCTCACTGCAACCTCCGCCTCCCAGGTTCAAGCAATTCTCCTGCCTCAGCCTTCCCAGCAGCTGGGATTACAGGTGCCTGCCATCACTTCCAGCTAATTTTTTTGTATTTTTAGTAGAGACGGGGTTTCGATATGTCAGCCAGGCTGCTCTCCAACTCCTGACTTTGTGATCCACCCGCCTCGGCCTCCCAAAGCGCTGGGATTACAAGCGTGAGCCACCACTCCAGGCCTCTACTTTTAACTTTTATGAATATGCAGTGTAGGGAGGGAATGCTTCCTTTAAATCCATATTCATGAAAGTAGCCCCACAGCAATATTTATAAAGTGATTTTTAAAAAGTTATTTCTAGAATAATTCAACGATACCTTAGCCTTCACTAAAAACTTTTCGAACTTTTAGTTTAAAAAAACAAAAAAAGGCTGGGCACAGTGGCTCATGCCCATATCCCAGCACTTTGGGAGACTGAGGCAGGTGAGTTTAAGACCAGGCTGACCAACATGGAGAAATCCCATCTCTACTAAAAATGCAAAAATTAGCCAAAGTGGTGCATTCCTGTAGTCCCAGCTGCTTGGGAGGCTGAGGCAGGAGAACCACTTGAACCTGGGAAGTGGAGGTTGCGGTGAGCCGAGACTGTGCCACTGCACTCCAGCCTGGATAACAAGAGCAAAACTCCGTCTCAAAACAAACAGAATTGCTTGAACCTGGGAAGCAGAGGGTGAAGTGAGCCAAGATCATGCCACTGCACTGCAGCCTGGACAACAGAGTGAGACTCTGTCTTAAAAAAAACCCCAAAAACAAAAAACCTAGGCAAATATGTAGAGTAGACAGCATAAAGCTGATGTTCTGAAATGAAGTTATGACTCATAAATGCGTGGATTTTTTTAAAAAGGTTGCAAAGCTTAATATGAAGGAATCTGTTTGGTCATTTCACATCATAAATTTCATAATCTGCTATTGTGAAAAAGTTACCATCTTACAGGATTGCTGCTAATACATCTTAAAATCCTCAGACAAAAAGGAATCTCTTCCAAATTGAGTTCCCAATTTGAAACAAGAAAGTTATGTTTTACTACCTTTTAACTTAAACACAAATGTAAAAAATTTGGGAAAATGAGATTCGAAATGGACTTTATTTGCAAAAATGAAATCAAAGTCCTCAGAAATTAAAATGTTTTCCCATAAATTTACATTCTTAGGCTGGGCGCGGTGGCTCACACCTATAATCCCAGCACTTTGGGAGGCTGAGGCGGGTGGAACACGAGGTCAAGAGATTGAGACCATCCTGGTCAACAAGGTGAAACCCCGTCTCTACTAAAAATACAAAAATTAGCTGGTCATGGTGGTGCACGGCTGTAGTCCCAGCTACTTGGGAGGCTGAGGCAGGAGAATTGCTTGAATCCAGAAGGCTGAGGTTGCGGTGAGCCGAGATCGTGCCTTTGCACTCCAGTCTGGGTAACAACAGCAAAACTCCGTCTCAAAAAAAATTTACATTCTTATCTATTCTCTATTGAAAGTCAAGGTGAATATAATTTACGATTTATTGAAGCTGAAAAAGTTGCTGGGCATGACAGCTCACATCTATAATCTCAGCACTCTGAGAGCTGAGGTGGGAGAATTGCTTGAGCCCAGGAGTTTGAGACCAGCCTGGGCAAAACAGGAATATCCTGTCTCTACAAAAAAAAAAAAAGGATTAGCTGGGTGTGGTGTACACCTACGGCGGAGGTCCCTCCCATCTACTATGGAGGCTGAGGTGGGAGGACTGTTTGAGCCTGGGAGGTCGACGCTGCAGCGAGCTGTGCTAGTGCACAGCATGGGCGACAGAGACCCTGTCTCAAAAACAAAAAACCATCGGCCGGGCGCGGTGGCTCAAGCCTGTAATCCCAGCACTTTGGGAGGCCGAGGCGGGTGGATCACGAGGTCAAGAGATCAAGACCATCCTGGTCAACATGGTGGAACCCCGTCTCTACTAAAAATACAAAAAACTAGCTGGGCATGGTGGTACGTGCCTGTAATCCCAACTACTCAGGGGGCTGAGGCAGGAGAATTGCCTGAACCCAGGAGGCGGAGGTTGCGGTGAGCCGAGATTGCGCCATTGCACTCCAGCCTGAGTAACAAGAGCGAAACTCCATCTCAAAACAAACAAACAAACAAAACCAACCAAAAAAGTCTTGAGAATGTCATAATCTTTTAATAGATTATAGTTAAAGTAAAATAAGTTGTAAGAAGACCCGATGGTAAGGATCTTATCAGTGGGAGTCCATTTACATTTCTACAGGGAAGCAAAAGGCACCACATTAAAATCACATGCTAATTACCAAGCTTGGCTTTGCAGTCCCCAAATTCTGAAACCAAATTATTTCTGTCTATATGTATGTTTCAGTGGCAGATAACATTTTTTGAGACGAGAAAATTAAAGCTGGGAGCAGTGGCTCATGCCTGTAATCCCAACACTCTGGGAAGCTGAGATGGGAAGATCACTTAAGCCTGGGAGGTGGAGGTTGCAGAGAGCCAAGATCCCACCACTGTACTGTACTCTAGCCTGGGCAACAGAGACTGTCTCAAAAAAAAAGAGAGAGAGAATTAAAATCTACTAAGAGTTGGCCGGGCGCAGTGGCTGACGCCTGTAATCCTAGCACTTTGGGAGGCCCAGGCAGGTGGATCACGAGGTCAAGAGATTGATACCATCTTGGCCAACATAGTGAAACCTTGTCTCTACTAAAAATACAAATATTAGCTGGGCGTGGTGGTGAGTGCCTGTAGTGCCAGTAACTCGGGAGGTTGAGGCAGGAGAATTGCTTGAACCCTGGAGGTGGAGGTTGCAGGGAGCTGAGATCCCACCACTGCACTCCAGCCTGGCGCCTGGTGACGGAGTGAGACTCTGTCTCAAAAAAGACAAAAAAAAAACCTAGGTAAAATCTACTAAGAGCAGTACAACTTTCAAAAAGTTGGAGCCGCTATCCTACAATGTATACATATTTCAAAACATCATGTTATACACAATAAATATATACAACTTTTGCCAATTAAAACAAATGTTGAGACTAACTAGATTAACGGCCTAGGTAGTATTTTACATTTTAAAAATAAATAGGCTGGGCGTGGTGGCTCATACTTGTAATCCCAGCAGTTTGGGAGGACAAGGCAAGCATATCACGAGGTCAAGAGATGGAGACCATCCTGGCTACCATGGTGAAACCCCGTCTCTACTAAAACTACAAAAAATTGGCCGGGCATGGTGACATGTGCCTGTAGTCCTAGCTACTCGAGAGGCTGAGGCAGAAGAATCGCTTGAACCCAGGAGGCGGAGGTTGAGGTTGCGGTGAGGCGAGATCATGCCACTGCACTCCAGCCTGGGTAACAGAGTGAGCCTCTGTCTCAAAACAAAAACAAAAACAAAAAAATAGTATCAGATGCTTCTGAGAATAGCACAACAATATGACCACCTGCTCATTAATCAACTATCGTTTTTACATGTGAAGATCTTCAAAAAGCTAGGAAAATTATAAATCAGATAAAGATAATAAGGACTCTACTTGACATTTTGGTTGAAGTGGCTCATACCTGTAATCCCTGCACTTTGGGAGGCCAAGGCTAGCAGATCACCTGAGGTCAGGAGTTCAAGACCAGCCTGACCAACATGGAGAAATCCTGTCTGTACTAAAAATACACAATTACAGGCACGGTGGCTCATGCCTGTAATCCCAGCACTTTGGGAGGCTGAGTCCAGTGGATCATGAGGTCAGGAGTTCAAGACCATCCTGGCCGATGTGGTGACACCTCGTCTCTACAAAAAATACAAAAAGTAGCTGGGCATGGCGGTGAACGTCTGTAATCCCAGTCACTTGGGAGGCTGAGGCAGAGAATTGCTTAAACCCAGTAGGCAGAGGTTGCAGTGAGCCGAGATCACGCCACTGCACTTCAGCCTGGGTGACAGAGGGAGACTCCATCTCAAAAAAAAAAAAAAAAAAAAAAAAAAAAAAAATTAGGCGTAGTGGTGAATGCCTGTAATCCCAGCTGCTCAGGAGGCTGTGGCAGGAGAATCACTTGAACCCAGGAGGCAGAGGTTGCAGTGAGCCAAAATCATGACACTGCACTCCAGCCTGGGCAATAAGAATAAAACTCCATCTCAAAAAAAAAAAAAAAAACCCGAAATCTCAAACAATTTTTTTTTAAGAGATAGAGTCTGTCAACCTCCCAAGTAGCTGGGACTACAACTGCAACCAGCTTGAAATCTGCAACAATTTTATCCAAAATCAAAAGTGGCTCAGAAAGTTAAGAAGGCACCCAAGAGAAAAGTACTAGAATCACAGCAGAGTCCCTCTCTGAAATTTGACAAAATTAGTAAGAAAAAAGTTGGCAATTACTTTGTCATCAATGTTTACCCCTTCCTTATGGCATGTTTCACACTACACTATGGAAGTTATGTAAAAGATGCGTATTCCTTGCCAGACTTAAGGTAAATTGCTGCGTGTCATTCACTTATCCTCACATTCCTTGGAACCTAGCAAACTGCCTTACACATAGTAGTGACTGAAAGACTGAATGATTTAAGGTGACATGTGTACCCAGATCCAGGTAATCAATGAGGCTCTAATCCACGTAAGAACAGTCACAGTTTCCTTTTAGCTAACAAGCACTGAGTAATTTGATAAGTTGCTTTTTTTTTTATTTGGAAAGTTTTAAAAGTAGATTTTAAGCTCTGAATAACATATTTACATTTTAAATGTATTTGAAAGTATGGTAATGAGACATTAAAAAAATACATCAACATGGCCAGGTGTAGCTCATGCCTATAATCCCAGCACTTTGGGAGGCTGAGGCGGGTAGATCACGAGGTCAAGAGATCAAGAACATCCTGGTCAACATGGCAAAACCCCGTATCTACTAAAAATACAAAAATTAGCTGGGCATGGTGGTGCACACCTGTAGTCCCAGCTACTTGGGGGGCTGAGGCAGGAGAATTGCTTGAACCCAGGAGGCGGAGGATGCGGTGAGCTGAGATCGCGCCATTGCGCTCCAGTCTGGGTAACAAGAGCGAAACTCTGTCTTCAAAAAAAAAAAAAAATCAACATAATTGGGCTCGGCCGGGCACGGTTGCTCACGCCTGTAATCCCAGCACTTTGGGAGGCTGAGGCAGGTGGATCAAGAGGTCAAGAGATCGAGACCATCCTGGTCAACATGGTGAAATCCTGTCTCTACTAAAAATACAAAAAATTAGCTGGGCATGGTGGCATGTGCCTGTAGTCCCAGCTACTCAGGAGGCTGAGGGAGGAGAATTGCCTGAACCCAGGAGGCGGAGGTTGCGGTGAGCAAAGATCGCGCCATTGCACTCCAGCTTGGGTAACAAGAGCAAAACTCTGTCAAAAAAAAAATGATTGGGCTCACTGTGGAACTAGATAGCATTGGTAGGGTGAATGTAAAGTGACTGGGTGCTAATCTCTATAAAATGTTAACATGACAAGAACACCACAAAGTGAGTTAAAGTGGCCCTGGAATTCTCACCAGAAAAGTAATAACAGGCAAACAGAAAAAATGTAGAGTACTGCCATCTCCACTAAGTGTCTGGAAGGTGGGGAGCCTGTTGCCCACTCCTGAGGAACAATTACTGCCATTCCAATTCACATGGTGCTGCTGAAAACTGAGGTACAGAGGAGATGGTTCAGTCTGTAAACTCACTACCTGTCATGCAAAGAAAATGATGGAATAGCGGCCGGGCGCGGTGTCTCACACCTATAATCCCAGCATTTTCGGAGGCCGAGGCGGGTGGATCACAAGGTCAAGAGATCGAGACCATCCTAGTCGACATGGTGAAACCCCGTCTCTACTAAAAATACAAAAATTGGCTGGGCATGGTGGTGTGCGCCCGTAGTCCCAGCTACTCAGGAGGCTGAGGCAGGAGAATTGCCTTAACCCAGGAGGCGGAGGTTGCGGTGAGCTGAGACCGTACCATTGCACTCCAGCCTGGGTAACAAGAGGGAAATTCCGTCTCAAAAAAATAAAAAAAGAAAATGATGGAATAGCAAGCCAACTGGGCCCTTTTTAGACTCCTGAGAGTTCAAGCTCCATCAATGCTCTAAAGCGCCAGTCTAGGGCAGAGGTAAGGCAAACTATAGCCCTCAGGCCAAATCCAACCACTACTTTTTATACAGCCCAAAAGTTAAGAATGGTTATTTGTATTTTTGAATGGTGGGGGTGGGGGGTGTCAAATGACAAATCATATTTCATGGCACATGAAAATTATATGAAATTCAAATGTCAGTGTCCATAAATAAAGTTTTAATTGGAACATAGCCATGTTCATTCAATTACATGTTGTCTATAGCTGCTTTAGCGCTATTACAGCTCGCTCAGCCTGCAATGTTTGCCCCTTAGAGTAGCAGCATGCTGACCCCTGGCCTGAGCATTTCTCTCCACTCCTGGTTGCACTGCCTGTCTGAGAGGCAGCCCACTGCTTCACAGGGTTGAGCCTTCAAGCTTGTCAACTGTTGTCCATCTTGGGACTGTGTCGTTCAAAGTTACATTAATGAAATAACAGAATTTAGTGTAATTCATTAGGGTGGGTACAAAGACAAAGTAACATATAACTTGCACACATAAGGCTCTGAACAGGAAGCACCATGCAAGTACATGATAGGCATGTTCAAAACTTTTACCAGACTATTACATCCAGTTCGGGGTCACACTACTGAAAAGAAACAAGGACTACAGAGAATTTAGGGGTGGACAGATGACTGAGAGCACAAAAATTATACCACTAAATAAATGCAGAGGCCAGGTGTGGTGGCTCAAGCCTATAATCCCAGCACTTTGGGAGCTGAGGTGTGTGGATCACCTGAGGTCAGGAGTTCAAGACCAGCCTGACCAAAATGGTGAAACTCTGTTTCTACTAAAAATATAAAAATTAGCTGGGCATGGTGCTGGGCACCTGTAATCCCACCCACTCGGAGGCTGAGGCAGGAGAATCACTTGAACCTGGGGGGCAGAGGTTTCAGCGATCGGAGATAGCATCATTCCATTCCAACCTGGGTAACACAGCGAGACTCCATCTCAAAAAAAAAAAGAAAAAGAAAAGAAATGCTGAAATAAATGAGATTCGTTGGCCCAAAAGAAAGAAAGGTAAGAAAAGAACTGATAATAGCAAGGGTGCCAAACCCTGTATTTGCTAATAGGTCAAAGTCTTACTGATGACAATAATGGCAGTCTGAACTAATATTCCACAAAATATGTATCTAATGAATTAAATGTAATTTACGAGACTGTTACTCCTGTCTTAGGCCATAAACTAGATCCTTGAAAGATAATCACTGTCAAATATTGTACTTTAAGTCTTCAACATATTATTTAGGTATGTTCCTTTTTCATTAGGCATGTTCTATTTTCTGACATTAATGTAAGCTCCTAGGAAAGCTGTGCTACTAGTGTGTAGAGGTTCGGTAATATTCAAGTAACTAAAAGGTAATTAAGCTTCATAACCACACACCTTTGCACAGGACCAAATATGGAGAAATGGGCTTAAATTACAGAATGAATGTTCCAACTATAATATTTTAATTACTCTAACAGAGCACTGGGGGTGAAGGAATTTTCTTCCCAGGACACTGTTCAATTAGAATGCTCCGTCTGGAACTATCTGGATGCTTTCTTAGAGCAAGGAGAATGGATCTGAAACACTCTTCTTCTATGGCAGTGATTCTGTAATTTTAACTCTCCGAGTTTTTAAGAGTAAGAGAGCCTGCAGCCATTTCTAACTTATGTTTTGTCTTGAAGGTGGTCAATGTTTAAGATAAACTTTAATATCCCAAATTAAAACTTGACTATAACTTTAATTACGACTTTTTAAAATTACAGAGATAAGGATGCATTTCCATTAAACAGAAATAGTGAAAATAGGCACAGCTTCCTATTTCTCTGCTCCTTTGAATGAGGCTAGGTACTTCATTATTTCAAATGAAATATGAAATATTTCCCACACTTAAACACAGTAAGTACTCAATAAATGCTTTGTGAAGAAAATATAGTGTATTTCCTATTAGTTTTGTAACTTTTAAAATACAGAATAAAACCATTAAACACTGAATATTTTTTGAGTCAATCTCAACGTTGCAATTAGTAATGTGTATTTTGAAACTTCTTCTAAATACAATTTTAATCAATCTGAGTTTTTCAGCCTTGAAATTCTAAGGTCTGTATTTCCCAAAGAATATCCTTTCCATAGTGAGAAGCACACACTAAACTGACTCACTAAACTTTCTCCACTCCTACATCACCTATACAGGATTTTAAAATCATAAGTACACAAACTTTCAAGCCACTTCTACAATCTTGTATTAACCTTAGCAGGATAAACATTTGGCCAAATTTCTTTAACACTTTCTATCCAAAAACCTGTACTAGTGAAACAAAGAAAACACAACCCCCTCCTCCTTTTATAAACCATATGGCAGTAAATTAAAGTTAACTTATTTCTAACCAGCTCAAAGCCTAAACATCGACCCTAAACATTTGTCTCTTTGTGCCCTGGGACTGGGCTTAGGGAGCTGTCTGCTTATTTGCAACTGTACTCCAACCATGTATTTAAATCTTACCGCAAGGTCCAAAACGACCCCCGACCATGAACAGACCTCACAATCGTCATTTTCCAAAACCTGGTCTGGTAGGCAGCACATGCCGACGAGGGCCCCGGGGCCGGCGGGGAGCGAGTCCTGCTCCGCCTGAGTGACTGAGCAGGGAGTTTGCTTGCCGCGGCGGGGTCGGATCCACCCCGGGAACTTGTTACCCGAGCCCAGGGACGCGCTGAGGCCTAGCCGCGAGGCCGGGGCGGGCTCCAGGCGGCGAGGGCTTCCTGTCCCCTGGCCGCAGAGCCTTCCCGCCAGCCCCGCGGTCGCCCGCAGGCGGGGACACTCGCCGTCGTCTCCCGGCGACCGGACGCGCCTGCCGGGTCCCGGGTCGGCTCTTTCGCCTCCTGCTGCTGCCCATGGCCCGGCTCTGCGACCACACCGGGCTCTTCCGGGGCGGTGGGAGCGCTAGGCCGCGCTGGGGCCCGCGGTTCCCGGACCGGCCGGGCAGGCCTCGGCGTCCAGTATCAGCCCCGAGGGCCGAGCTCCCGCCGGTAACGGGCCCCACCGCCTCCCCTCCCCCCCTCGCCCCATGACAGTGCAAACCCTCCGGCCGCCCCGGCCGCCCCGCCTCCAGCACCAGGCCCAGCCAAGGGCCGCGGCCGTGGCGGCAGCGGCGCCGCGGCTCTCCGCCCTCGCTCGCTCGCTCCCGGGTCCAGCGCCTCGGGCCCGGCTCAGGCTCGGCCAAAGTCTCCGCCGCTTCCTGGCCGCCCTCCGCCGCGTCCGGCCCGGGCGGGGTAGGCCGAGGCCCCGGCGGTGCGGGTGGGGGCGGGGGCTCCTCTCACCTTCATGTCGGGACATCCTAGTTCAGACGGTGGCGGCGCGGCCCCTCCCGGGCTCCGGCTGCAGTGTCCCCCGCGGGGTCCCGGCGCTGCCCGCGCCGGCCGGCCGACTCCCACTGGACTCCTGGGCTCGGCCGCGGGGGCGGGGTGGGCAGGGGAGCGCTCCCGCGGCGGCGGCGGCGGCGGCGGCGGCGGCGGCGGCGGGGAGGCGGCGCGGGGCGGGAATGGGGACGGGCCTGGTCGGGGCTGAGCTCCTCCAGGAGGCGGGTCCGACGCCGCGGCTCCGCCGGCGCCCGCCGTGACTCCGGTCACTCTCGGGCCCGCCGGCTCCCGGCAGCGGCGCGGCGCTCCGCAAATCCCGCTCCTCCCCTCCCCCGACCCACCCCCCGCCCCTCTCCCCCGGCTCCCGGCCGCCGCCTCCTCCTCCTCTTCCTCCTCCTCCGCCTCCTTCCGCCGCCCGCACGCCAGCCCCGCCTCTCGCTGCCCGCGCCGGCCCCAGCGGCCCCGAGGCCCCGCGGCCGGCGGGGGCGGCGCGGCGGCGGCGGCGGCGGCGGCGGCTCGGGTTGCGGCGTTTGCCCGCGCTTGCCAGCCGGCCGCGAACGGACGCCCGAGCCCAGCCTCCGCTTGGCCGCCTCCGCTTGGCCGCCTCCGCGCCGCTCCACGCCGCGCGTAGGGAGGAAGAGGAAATGCCTAGCGCCGGCCCCCACTGCTCACCCGCGCGGACCGAGGAACGCCCGCCTGCCTCACCGCCCCCAGCTCCTCCTGGGGCGGGCCTGGGCCTTGGGCTGGGCCGGCCGCGGGCAGTAGGTGCTTCTCGGCGGCGAGCTGCGACTCAGGGGGGCTACTGTCCCCAGGTGTATGGCCTCCGGGCCTGCCGCGGGCAGCGAGCTCCGACCCCAGGGAGAGGCCGCGGACCGCCTGAGGACTTGTGTTTGTGTGTATTTTAAGACAACAGCCCAGAAGGGAAAGGCGGCTGGCCACCGGTGATCGCCGGCATTCGCCGGCCGGGTAACTGGCGATCGGGAGGGAAGCCGGGAGGCTGCCGGGCTCCGAGGCCGACTCCTTGCGAACCATCTCTGTTAAAGACTCCGTGCAGCCCCCGGCGGTGCCCGCGCAAACTGTCCCAGCGCCTTAGCTCACCGCGAATGCCCTGCCTTGGAAACTTGGAGTTTTTTGTTTCCTGCAAGTGGTCTGCTTTTCCGATTTTATCTGTGTTTGACATTTTTACTTTCTTATTGTCAACTTTGTTTTCAATCATTATTAATTCAACAAATCTTTGTACTGCCCCTTACCACGTGTCGGTGTTAGCGTGGTTTGGTGGAAATAGATGGCGCTTTGAAGTCAAGACAGATCGGCCATGGGATTTTGGTTCTGATATCCTCTGTGTAACCGTGGACGAATTACAGGACTTGCTGAGCCTCCATTTGTCTGGTTTTTGTGGTTGTTTTAATTTATCTTTTTCCATTTGAAGTTGTGCTTTTTGCATAAAATTGTACTGTTAACAGGCTAAGTCAACTGAAATTGGAATCTAGGGTACTGCTTGCTTTGGGGTTACTCTTAGACTCTCCACCATTCACTGGCTGTGTGACCTCTTAACCTCTCTGTGCCCTGATTTCTCTGTCTCTAAAATGGACATAACAACAGATGTTTAATAATAAGAGGCTTGGAGGTGAAGTGCTAAAATGTATATAAAATACCTACCACAGGACACAGTAAAAAGATTGTTACCGTATTTCATTGAATCTGATTTTAAGACATTTCCTGATATCAAAGAAACTAAAGCTCATCTTAAAGTCCAGGAAGTAGGTTTTGGCTCACTCAGAACTCCTGAGGGACTGTATTTGGTAGTAACTAGTGATAAACTAGAGTTTAAATGAGGACCTTGTCACCAGAAATATTTGTATGGAGCTTCTGCACAAATTCATTCCATTTCGTTTGTGGAAAGAGGTCCAACCTGGCCGTAAATGGGGTCTAGTGAAGTAGGAAGAAGGGTTTTAAGTAAAGCTAGTTAATGCTTATTGAATGCTTACCCTGTATGATGCCTTTCTAAGCATTTTACGGTATTGGCATATGTGATCCTGGGTATCAGGAGCCTCCATTTCTTGGGCTGTAAAAGTGGGGACAACACTGATCCCACTGTCTCCTGAGGGGTAAGTGATGTCTATAAATAAATTGTATAGAGATTAAGGCATTATCAGTGCTGCAGACAGATAAAATGCTGGAGAAGGTAGGAAAGCCTACAACAGTACTGAACTGCAGGAGGGATTAAGAGTAAATACGAGGTTTCATTTGCTTAGGTTTGGCAAAGGCTTGGCTAACTAAACAGATAACTGTTTTTGACAGTTACATCATTGTTTTCAGTCAGGCAAGAGTAAGGAAAGAGAGTAAACGGTTTTGTTTTTTCCTGTTTGAATAAGAGTGAGCAGAAATATTGTGGTTATTTGGGGTTTTCATGACCTTCATTCAATTAGAGTTTCAGGCTGTTCAACTTGAAACAACCTTCTCCTTGCTGTCCTGTCATATGGGAAATTTCATTTCCAAGAAAAGGATTAATTTCCAGCCTGGGCGAAACCCCATCTCTATTAAAAAAGTACCAAATTAGCTGGGCATGGTGGCATGCACCTTTGGTCCCAGCGACTCAGGAGGCTGAGGTGGGAGGATTCCTTGAGCCAGGGAGGTCAAGTCTGCAGTGTGCCATGATTACACCACCACATCCTAGCCTGAGTGATGTGTGACACTCTGTCTCAAAAAAGAAAAGAAAAAAAGGAATACTTTAAATCCTTATAACGAATTGTCTACCAAATGATTTCTGTTGCACTCCAGAAGTGTTTTCCTCCAGGCCCTTCTTCTCCCCGCACCCCTTGACTTCTCCTTTCTTCTGTGGACAACTGTAACTAATGCATGTTTTTGCTAGGCTAAATTATATTTTTTCTATATACTGTGGCCCAATTATATTTTTTCAAACAAGCTAATGGATGTAAGCATAAGCACTGGTGAAATCTGAATAAGGTCTGTAGTCTACTCAATAGAATTGTACTGATGTCAATTTCCTGGCTTCCAATATTTTTCCATAGTTTTTGTAAGATGTTCCCATTGGAGAAAGTGTACCCAGGCCCTCTTTGCAACTACCTATGGGTTTATCATTATTTCAAAGTAAAAAATTAAAGTATAGGGACAGAGGCCAGGCGTGGTGGCTCACGCCTGTAATCCCAGCACTTTGTGACGCCGAGGCAGGCCAATCATGAGGTCAGGAGATTGAGACCATCCTGGCCAACATGGTGAAACCCCATCTCTACTAAAAATACAAAAATTAGCTGGGCGTGGTGGCATGTGCCTGTAGTTACAGCTACTGGGGAGGCTGAGGCAGAATTGCTTGAACCCAGGAGGCGGAGGCTGCGGTGAGCCGAGATGGCGCCATTGTACTTCAACCTGGTGACGGAGTGAGACTCCATCTCAAAAAAAAAGGTATAGGGACAGAAATCAGATCAATGGTTGCTGGCCCCTGGAGTTGGGGATGGGTGGACTGACCACCAGGAGAACTTTTCCAGATGATAAGAATATCCTATATCTTGATTGTAGTATTGTTTACATTATTGGATGAGTCTGTCAAAACAATTATACACCTAAAAGGGTGGTTTTTTTCTTCTATGTAAATGATATCTCAATAAACCTGACTTAAAATAAGAAAAGCACGCTCCTATCATCCCAGCCTCCTGGAGCTTACACTATGAAATGTAACTTTAAGGCCCAACATGCTGTTCCAGCATACAGACTTCCTTCTGCCAGTGCACCCTTTGTACTTCTTTGTACTGTATTAATTCATGCCCCTGGCCAGGCATGGTGGCTCATGCCTATGATTCCAGCTCACACCTATGATTCCACCTCAGAGGCCGAGGCGGGCAGAACACAAGGTCAGGAATTGGAGACCAGCCTGCCCAATATGGTGAAACCTCGTTTCTACTAAAAAAAAAATACAAGAATTAGCTGGCCGTGGTGGCGGGTACCTGTAGTCCCAGTTGCTTGGGAATCTGAGGCAGGAGAATTGCTTGAACCCAGGAGGTGGAGGTTGCAGTGAGCCTAGACCACACCACTGCACTCCAGCCTGGGCAATAAAGTGAGACTCTGTCTCAAAAAAGTAAAAAATAAATAAAATTTCTGCCCCTGTGCTTTTGTACATACTCTTCTTTCTGCTTAGATGGAGCACAGGAAAGTAAGGTCCAAGTTTAGGTCCCTTGTACTCCAGTAAGCCTTCCCTGCCTCCCTTAGGCGCACCAGTAATTTCCTAACTTCCTCTGCTCACTCATGTTGTGCTGTCATTTTTAATTTGTTTTCATCTTTTTTCTCAGCTAGACTCCTCAAAGGCAGTGATGACATTGTTCATTTTTGTCTCCAGGATCCAGTACTGTTGAATGAGTGAGTGAGTGAATGAATGAATGATTTATTTTATATTACTATCTTTTTTGAGACAGAGTCTTGCTCTGTTGCACAGGCTGGAGTGCAGTGGCATGATCTCAGCTCACTGCAACCTCCGTCTCCCAGGTTCAAGTGATTGCACTGTCTCAGCCTCCTGAGTAGCTGGGACTTTAGGAGACTGCTACCACACCTGGCTAATTTTTATATTTTTAGTAGAGACAAGGTTTCACCATGTTGCCCAGGCTGGTCTCAAACTGCTGGCCTCAGGTGATCCACACACCTCAGCCTCCCAAAGTGCTGGGA